CCATTGCCTCTATCCCACCAAACATTCCCTCCCTCCCCGCCTCCCTCCCGCCCGGCCGCGCGCCGGCGGGGGCGCCCTCCCGCCCTCCTTCGTTCCTTTTTTTCCCCCTTTTGTTCTTTTTTTTCTTTTGTTTTATTTTTGAAGACAGTGTTTCACTGTGTAGCCCTAGCTCTCCTAGAACTCCCTGTAGACCAGCTGTCCTGGAACTCACAGAGATCCACCTACTACTGCCTCCTGAGTGCAGGAATTAAAGGCACATGCCACCACCACCTGGTTCAAATTTTTCTTTTTTTTTTAAAAAAAAATTACTTATTTTTATTTTATGTGAATTGGTGTTTTTCATGGGTGTCCAGTTCCCTGAAGCTGGAGTTACAGACAGCTGTGAGCTGCCATGTGGTCGTTAGAAATTGAACCCAAGTCCTCTGAAAGAGTAATTAGCACCCTTAACTTCTAAGCCATCTCGCTAGCCCCAAACATGCATTTTTTTTCTTGGTCCAAACATAGTTTCTTAAAAGAAATAATTTAGTTGCCAGAGAGAGTGGTTAAGAGCACTGTCTGCTGTTCTGGAGGACCCAGGTTCAACTCTTCAGCACCCATATAGTAGCTCACAACTAACTTCATTGCTACAGGATACCATACACTCCTCTGGCCTCTTCAGGCACCAGCCATACCCATGATACACAGGCAGACATGCAGAAAAAACACTCACACACATTAAATAAATATTAAAAATGTAATCAGATGCATGCCTACATTGTTGCATACATATACACATATATAAAACACACAGACGTGTGTGCATATATATGTATATATACACATATATGAAACACACACACATATATATGTGTATGTATATGAATACTATTTTCTGCTTTTTCTACCTCTGAGGTTTGCTCGTGGTTCAGATGTCATGTCCTTTCTAATGGGTAATTTCGTTGTTGCTACCTTTCCTGGGCCAACTAATGTCAGTTTATTCACTATTATTTAACAGACCTTGGCTCCATTGATTAAAAACAAAAACACTTTATCAAAATACATACATATATATTTTTTTAGTATAGGAATTAAGCATGGTGCTCCATACCTTTCCAGCCTTAGCCCCAGGCATTCTCAGGACACCAAGTGAGATGCTTTCTCCACAATGCTGAGCAAAAAGGAAGGCTGTAAGAAAGTTCTTGGTAGACCTGGGCTTAGCTCCGTGGTCTCCATGTTAGAGAGTGCTTGACTGAAAACAAAGTCCCTAGAGCATGTGGTTGCCAGCTTGTGTTGCAGGTTTCATTTCTTTGTCATCCTTCTGGGTGTTTTGTGTGTGTATGTGTGTGTTTTGTGTGTTGCTAGTAAAAATCACTCTTTTGCTGATAAATCTAGGCTATTTTTAAATGTGCTTGTGCCTTTTCAAAATAACCTTAGAGGGGCTGACGAGGTGGCTGACTCACTGGCTGCTCTTCCAGAGACTTGGGATCAATTTCCAGCATCCACACAGCAGCTCCCACAGCTGTCTGCAGCTTCAGGCCCAGTGTACCTGACACCCTTCATGCAGACAAAGCTCCAGTGCACATTAAAAAGAAAAAGAAGGAAGGAAGGGAGGGTTGACAGACACGAAGGATGGAAGAGACAAAACATAACTTTGGAAAGGTTTTTTTAAATTAAGATATTTTTTAAAAAAATTATATTTAGTCTTTTGGTTGCATGTATGTGTACCACGTGCATGTCTGAGCCTGTGGAGGTCATAGAGTGTTGAAACCTCTATGTCTGAAGTTATGGACAGATGGAAGCTGTCATGGGGTCTGGGAACAGACCTTGTCTTCTACAGAGCAGCAGGGATCCTTAATTACTGAACCATCTCTCCAGCCCCTGAAATTCCCAAAAATTAGAGCGATATACTCTTCTAAGGTATGAGTTTTCATCTTTTTGTGTAATGGAAAGACAAGTATGAGTCTTTAAGGGCTACATTTGGTTATGTCTGTTTGCTCTTTTATTTATTTAAGAACTTTATACGTATATGGTGTGTCTGTAGTGCTTGTGTGAAGGTCATAGGACATTAGTATGGATTCTGTTCTCTTCGAACCTGAGTTCTGGAGATGAACTTGGGTCTTCAGGCTGGTGTCACAAGTGTTTTTTATCTACTCAGCCATCTCATCAGCCTCTGTTTTTGCTAAGAATATATTAACAAGTCTTAGTTGAAAATTAATTTGAAGTTCTTAGGAAATTAAACACCTAGATCTAGAAAAAAATACATGGTCTGCATGGTCGACTAGGATATAAAGCTATATAGCTATTTGAAAAGTGTTTGTTTTGTTTTAAAATACTGTGTGTGTAGCTGAAGTTATTCTGAAACTGTAGACCAGGCTGGCCTTGAACTCTTGCCTATCTCTGCCTACAGTACTCTTTTGCACAGCCAACCTGTGCTTTAAAAGCTTTGAAAAGGGGCTGGAGAGATGGCTCAGCGGTTAAGAGCATTGCCTGCTCTTCCAAAGGTCCTGAGTTCAATTCCCGGCAACCACATGGTGGCCCACAACCATCTGTAATGAGGTCTGGTGCCCTCTTCTGGTCTGCAGGCAGAATATTGTATACATAATAAGTAAATAAATAAATGTTTAAAAAAAAAAAAGCTTTGAAAAGAACTACTCTATTTACATGCTAATTCAGCGTGTCAGCCTATTATTGTTTTATTTACTCCACTCTGTCTCGCTGTAGCCCAGAACTCTTTATGTAGGTGAGGATTCCCTTGAAGTCTTCTTCTGAGTCTACCAGGTTCCAGTGTGAAAATTTTCAGCACTTTTTTCAGTGCTTTGCAGTAGCTACTTTTAAGCAACTTCCCAGGTTTTCCTAATTGCTCTAGCTTCCCTTAGAGATATAAATTGATTAGAAATTTCATTTTAGGGCTGGAAAGTTGGCCCAGTGGTTGAGAGCAGTGACTGCTCTTCCAGAGGTCCTGAGTTCTTTTTCCAGCAACCACATGGCTCACAGCTATTCATCATAGTGAGAGAAGGTGCCCTCTTCTGGCCTGCAGGGATACATGCAGGCAGAACACTGTATATATAATAAATAAATAAATCTTTAAAAATATTTTTATTCTAATTACTTTCCCTTCCTCCTTTAAATTAGACAATCTTGCTTTATTGCTAGGCTGACTCGACCTCCTGCTTTTGTCTCCCAAGTGCTAGGATTGTATCTATGTTACCATGCCTGGCTTCCCAAAGATCATTTTAGAGAACGATGCATATTGAGCATTTAATCTATGAAATAGAAACCTACATTGCTCGTACTATGTTGGTGTAGAACAGCTGTTGCCAGTTAGCTTAAATTAAAATGATTACTTTTTGTCATTTTTATTAGATAATCTGTACAAACCACCCCAGCTTTAATTGAGCAGGTGTGTAGTGAGAATTTAGCTGAGCATGAGAAATACAGTCCTAAAGTTCTAGCACTTGGGATGATGAGTCAGGAGGAACCAGTTCTTCATCCTGTAGCTAGACTCTGTCCAAAAAGCCAAGTTTGTCCTGCTGATGCTGCTAATCAGGGGAGAAGGACATTTAATGACACTGGCTGATCTCACACATGCTGTTTCTAATAAATTACCTTGTAGCCTGAACATTTAGGATTGCCTTGTATTTTCGGCAGACAGTGCAAATAGTCGCTGCTTTGGTTGGTTTTGTTTTGAGACATAGTCTCACTGTGTAGCCCTGGCTGTCCTGGAACTTGCTCTGTAGATGAGCTGGGAACTGGGGTTTTTTGTTTGTTTTTAGTAATTACAAACTCAGTTAGAAAAGGCTGATGTAGAATGATCCTTTGTGGCTGGGGCGGGACTGTGTAACTCAGTGGTAGAGTGTCTTGCCTTCACAAGGCCCTCCAGGGCCTCAGAAAACTGTACTGTTGATTCTTCAATACATTGCGTTGTAGATTTTATATTCTTTAACATTTCAGTAAAGCTCATTTTAAACAAATAATTGCTTCATAAAGACAAGGTGTTGTAAGTATATTTAAAAGCATTTAAGCATTGCTTATTTTTATTTTTAATTATCTATATGTATTGGTTTATATACTGTCTGTGAGTCCCTACAGAGGACAGAAAGCAGTAAATCTCCTGAAGTTAGAATTATAGGTAATTGTGAGCTGTCCAGCATGGTTACTAGGAGCTAAACTCATGCAAAAGCAGTACATTTACGTAACTGTGATTTGTCTCCAGCTCCATGTCATAATATTGTTTGTCCCAGTTTGGAATATTATGAACTGATTGCAGAACTTCTAAAAGGCTCTTAAAAAAAATTTAGCAGGCTCTTAAAAAAAAAATGTCTGCACAGAGGGTCAGTGGTTAAAAGGACCCAAGTTGAATTCCCTGTCCCCATGTTGGGTGACAGAGAACTGTATGTAGCTCTAGCTGTAGGGGATCAGCTGCTTCTGATTTCTGTAGTTACCTGCATTTATGTGCACATGCTTAAATATTCTTATAATTAAAAACAAAATTCCTTCAGAAAATCCCATAGGTTGTATTAGTATTAATAACTTGAATTATCTCTTTATTAAGAACTACAGGCAAGGGACTGGAGAGGTTGCTTAGTGGTTAAGAGCACATGTTCTTGCAGAGGACTTAGCTTTGGTTCCCAGCATTCTTGCAGCAGCTCAGGATCATCTGTAACTCCAGTTGTAGGGAATCCAGAGCCCTCTTCTGACCTTCATGGACACCACGCATTTAGGTGCATATGCATACATGAAGAAAAAATACTCATATAAAATCTAAAATATTTTGTTTAAGAAGAACAAATTAACAATGGAGTAAGTAGATAAAGCTTACAGGATAGGTAAAAGTAATAAGAAAAAGCAAAGTTGGGTAAGGATGTGATTTCAGTTATCTTAAAAATAGACTCATTGTAAGAATAAAAAATTGGCAATTATACACACAGTTGCTAACTCTTGTTTCAATTCAGAATACATACACTTTGTTTATGTCATTCATAGCCCCCTTTAGCAGGATATTTTTCTATTTTGAAATTTAGGGCGGCAGCAATGACTCTCCGCACGGTATTATTGTCATTGCAAGCACTGTTGGCAGCTGCAGAACCAGACGACCCCCAGGATGCAGTAGTAGCAAATCAGGTAAGAAGGCAGATTTTGAAAGACTTTCTTAGACATGATGTCAGCATATGAACATTCTTTATTGGAGCTTATTTGGAAATGGTTTAATTGGGCATGTGATAGATGCTATTTCCTAATGTATGAAAGAATTCCACAGTGAGTCCTTGTGTAGCTCCCATCCAGAATCTACAGTTAGCATTATCACATGCGCCTTGCCCCTCTCCATACATTCTTGACTTCTTCCTGGTGGTAATCTAATGACCCCTACCACAGAAGTGGAGTCCACAGTAGTGGCCTTGGGAGTGATTTTCATGTGTGTTGCTTTTTATCTTTAATGCCTTTAAGGATAAGGTAAGGCATATCCACTATGGCTGGTTTGGGTAATCTTATTTTATAGGAACAGAGTCATCTACTTGTTTATTTTGCTATCCAGTCACAGGAACAGTGTTACACGCTGTCTGTTACTTGAAAGGCTTAAATTACTAATAATATCATGAGTATCCATACCTTGAGACATAGCTTGCCAACCTCTACTGTAAGTATTCTGATTTACTGAGCCTTTTTGTTGTTAAACAACATCATCTCTCAATGTATGAAATACTTCCCTCTTCTCTCCCTATATTTACAGTTGATTCTCAGTTTCTATTCTGTTTTGCCTCTCTCCCTCTCTCTACCTCTCTCTCCCTCTCCCTCCCTCTTCCTCTCTCTCTCTCTCTCTCTCTCTCTCTCTCTCTCTCTCTCTCTCTCCCTTCCTCCTTCCCTCCTCCCTTCCTCCCTCCCTCCCTTTCATTTTTTTCCCCCTTGAGACAGTGTTTCTCTGCACAACAGTTCTGGCTGACTGTCTTGGAACTCACTCTGTAGACCACGCTGACTTTGAACTCACAGAGATCTGCCTGCCTCTGCCCCACCCCCACCCCCAGTCCACTACTTCCTGGCCATTGTTACCCTCTTTTAATGAAAACAGTTGTAGCCCACTCTTGTTTTTCTTGCATTGATCTCTGGATGATCACAGCGCCTACACTGTCAGTGCACACCAAGGATCTGCTTGTGCTTGAGTTTTTTTCCTGAACCCCAAATTCTCTCTCAAACAGCATCGATTGGAGGTGCACTCCAGTCTCAGCAGCTGGAGGCAGAGGTGGTCAGACCACTGTGAGCTCATGACCAGCCTGCTCTACTAAGTAAATTCCAGGCCAGGCAGAGTTACAAAGAACCTATCTCAAAACAAACAATCAAAACCAAGTGGTTTGGAACTCACTACCATTCACTTAGAGCCTACTGTTTACATTGCAAAGGTTCTTCATGATATGTTACCCTTGAGCACTTTGTAACTTTTTAACACTTTTAACACTTACCTGTGATTTGATCATGAAGTTCTGAGATCATAATCATTTTTATGTCATTTATTCTGTTTTTCTTGCTTTCTCTTTGAGAAAACACTTATCAAGTATCCTTAATTTTTTTAAAGTGTGCTTATTATTTGTGTGTGTGTGTAAGTACGTGTGCACACATATACGTGCCTGCTTGATGTTTAAGTGTGGGTACCGTTACCTCACAGCAGGAATGTATGGGTCTAAGGACAACTGTATCTCCTTCCATGTTACTCAGGTTTCAGGCTTCAAACTCTTTGTATTTTGTTTGTTTTTATTTCTTCAAGACAGGGCTTCTCTGTGTAGTCCTGACTGTCTTGGAACTCACTCTGTAGAGCAGATGGCATCACAGAGAACTGCCTGCTTCTGCTCCTGAGTGCTGGGAGCCCCTCCAGGCTTTCAGGCATCAGACTCAGTTTGTCAGGCGTATTGCAGGTAGTGTTCTTAGCTGCTGAGTCATCTTTCTGGCCCAAATTTCTTTATCCTTATGCTCTTAAAAGAAAACCTTGTCGGGCGGTGAAGATGCACACCTTAATCCCAGTACTTTGGAAGCAGAGGCAACTAACTGGATCTCAGTCAATTCGCGGCCAACCTCGTCTACAAAGCGAGTTCCATGACAGCCAGGACTGTCACAGAGAGAAACCCTGTTTCGGGAAGAAAAAAAAAAAAGATATTTTAAAATGTGTCTCTTGTGTACTTGAGCACCAGTACCCGTAGAAGTCTGAGGAAGGTGTCGGGTCCCCTGAGTAGAAGTCAGGCCCCTGGTGTTTGTGCTGTGGTTTCTCGTCATCTGCAGAGCAGCAAGTGACCTTTAACCATGGAGTCGCCTTTCCAGGCTTCTCTTTATGGCTTTAATGTAAATATATATTTTTGACAACTTTTTCTCTTCCTTCCCCTTGACGATCTCATTTTTTCTATGCATGCGTCCTTACCTCCATTGCTGAACTTCAAAGTGCTTGAAGTTATGCCCTTTGCTTGTTTGGTAACAAAATATTGAAATACATTACATATATCTTTTGTTTTATTCATTCATTCATTCATTCATTCATTCATTCATTCATTCATTCATTTATTGAGACAGGATTTCTCTGTGTATTCCTGGCTGTTCTGGAACCAATTCAGAAGACCATACTGTCCTTGAACCCACAGAGATCCTCCTGCCTCTGCCTCTCTATATAGTTCCAGGACAAAAGGCATGCGCCACCTCTGTACTGCAAGTCCCAGCGCCCTATAAGTAGAGGCTGTGGGTCTCTGAGTGTGGCAAGCCTGATGTAGATACAGAGAGTTCTTGGACAGCCAGGTCTACATAGTGAGAACTTGTTTTAGCAAAAGAAAAAGAGGGGGAGAGAAGGAGAAAATGCATTGATTTGCCTTCTGTCTTGTGACTAGAGAGATGGATGGCTTAGTGATTAGGAGTTCTTACTGTTCTTTCAGAGGAGCAGAGATTAGATCCCAGCACCCACATTCAGCAGTTCTATACTGCCCTCTTCTTGACCTTTCTGGGGGATTCTACACACATGTGCATATATACACACATACTAACATATGTAAATAAATATTTTAAAATCTTTTAAAATGGTACTTTGAAAAGAAATATTAAGTGGCTGGGAGATGGTGGTGCATGCCTTTATTCCCAGCACTCAGGAGGCAGAGACAAATTTTTTGTAAGTTTGAGGCCAGCCTGGTCTACAGAGCAAGTTCTAGGACAACCAGGGCTTTTACACAGAGAAATCCTGTCTCAAACAACAACAACAAAAAAGGAGTTATTAAACAATTTGACAGTTTTTACAAATGAATGTACCTCATATCTTTCAAATTCATATGGCAAATCTAGGTAAAAGGATTCTTAATTTTAAATTTTCTTGAATGGTGGTGATACAAGTTAAGGTTGGGTTTACTTGATTACAGAGTAGCTCCAAGAGAGGTGTCTCACCTTGAGCTCTGCCCAGGAACATAGTTGCTTATATTTATCAGCCAGTGTTCACGTAATTTAACATGCTGCTGATTTTGTTGAGTTGTGTGATTTGCTGTACAATGATTAGAACATTTCAATAATGGGTTCATTTAATAATAGATGCTTGTTTAAAGTGTATTAACTTTGTCCTTTATTTTCACAAAGCTTCATTTTTTGAGTGACACATCCGCAGTGGAAAACGAATACCAGTTTGTGTTTTGTCACATGGAGTGCTGGTAACTGACCTTGTGATGTGGGCTTGCTATTAAGCTAGCACTACCATTCATTGATCTCTGCAGCCCCAGCCCAAAGGAGCCCCATGTTAAATAGAAATGTGTTTTCTTTAGAAGAGGCAGAGCCGTAGTTGAGCTGCTGTGTTGACTGTCACTGTATTGTCATGTTAATCTTTTTTTTTCCCCCTCTATGTAGTACAAACAAAATCCTGAAATGTTCAAGCAGACAGCTCGACTTTGGGCACATGTGTATGCTGGAGCACCAGTTTCTAGTCCAGAATACACCAAAAAAATAGAAAACCTGTGTGCTATGGGCTTTGATAGGGTAAGTACAGGAGGAGTTGATTTGATTTCCTCATTCTAAACTGCTCCCAGTCCTTGGAACAGGTAGAGTTACAATGTAAAAGAAATCTAGTTTTGGTTAATAGTGTTTTGTTACTGAATTTAATAATGATTCTTTTTGTTGATTCCAGTCATTGATAGAGGAAAGAAAGCATGATTCTCAGTGTAAAACCTTAGTGAGGTTTTTCAGTGCTTAGCAAGTGCTTCCTTGAGTTGTGATTGCTCTTGTCCTCTTTTTACAGAATGCAGTAATAGTGGCCTTGTCTTCAAAATCATGGGATGTAGAGACTGCAACAGAACTGCTTCTGAGTAACTGAGGCATGGGAGCTGCTGCCAGCCAAGCTCACCTCTTCTTGAGGAGCACCAACATCTGTTATTTTTAGGATTCTGCATAAATTTCTTTTAAACTGGCATTCTTGCCTAATGATGTTATCTAGGCACCATTGGAGACTGCAAAAAAAAAAAAAAAGAACCAAATTCCCTGCTCTGTAAATAAAGCTAATTAAACGTCTGTGTAAATTTAAAAAGGGGAAATACTTTAATTTTTTTTCTTAATAGTGTAAAAAAATCTTTGAGCTAAGCTAAAACCATGGAAAAAACATGCTACGTTAGTGTTTAGCAATGTAACAAGACTAGCGAGTTTGCTTCAGGTTCTGTTGAATAACTAGGGAAACACTCGAGGTCGCCGCTCCCATTGTCGTGTTGCACCACAGCTTCCTTAAGCGTTTGAACATGGATCCTCGTGCCTGTGAATTTACTTGCATGCTTGTACTTGACTTCTTAGGATGGGTAGCTGAAAAGACCACCCTTTTAAGCATTAGGAAATTTGGATTATGAGATTTATCCAGACTTAAAGATGACCTAATCAGAGCCTTTCGGTCCCTGTGGACAGGTAGGGACACTCTTACTTCTTCCCTGTTAACCATCCAAAGCTAAGATTCTCATGGTAAATTTCTGTGTTTGGTGGGAAATGTGCTGAGGAAGTGTCCCTTGTTCTATTTTAGGTCATAGGTTTGATAGGTTTCGTCCGAGTGCTTTACTTTGTAAGTAATAATGTAAAAATGGGGCTGCCAATCTTATTTCTCTTATAAAAGAATTAAATACTTGATGTTGCAGTACTCCCAGACTTAATAGAGGACCCTACTTAGTTTTTCTTTTTTTTTTTTTTTAAATTGAATTTGACATGTTTAAACTGATGAAGTCTTTGGAAACTTGAAGGATGCAGTCAGCTGTTTTCAGTAGTGTCAAGTCTAACTGGGACTTTAGAGTTTGCTTTTGTCAGACACTTGAGTCACTCTTGCACTCCCCGTGTTGACACATGAAAGCTGCCGGTGTCTCCCTGTACATACTTCAGGTGCACATAGGAATAGGGCGTGTTAGGAATCTAGCTTTCTTTAGGATGTTTTTGACAGTGTGAGAATTGAACCTCTCCCTTCTTCTGTACATAGAATTCTGTTCTTCACTGTCACTTCTCATTCTGTGTTCCAAAGTTTAAAGACTCTTTGTTTTGCGAACTCAGACACTTAATTTAACCATCTTAATAAGGTTCAAGTGAATTTATGTAGGCAGTTGTTACGTAGGAGATATAATTATAAATTTATTTGAGGACCAATGCATAAGTAACAGAAATGTAATGGAATCAGACTGAATTAAAGTAAGGCTCTCTTGAAAATCATATTCTAAAAGGTTTGTTTTCTTGAAGTGTTCTTTACTTTTTTCTTTTCTTTCTTTCCTTCTTTTTTTTTTGCTTTTGTTTTTGGTTTTTGAGACAGTGTTTCTCTGTAGTTTTGGAGCCTGTCCTGGGAACTAGCTCTTGTAGACCAGGCTGACCTTGAACTCACAGAGATCGCCTGCCTCTGCCCCTGAGTGCTGGGAGTGTTCTTCATCTTGTAGTCATAGTTGTTAGAAAATACTTTTTGAACCTGTTAACTTAGCATAACTTCATTTGACTTTTCAATATTCTTGATACTACAAGCAATAAAAGAGCCATTAAATAGACTATGACATTAAAGATGTGACAGTTCTTCCAGCAGCTGTGAGGCTTTCTCAGTTACCAGTGACTCAGGCTGCTATGTTCTCCATGTTTGCAGATACACACATTTCCTGTTGCAGCCACACCTTTTATTGCTGTAGTTTATGTCCTAAAGATGCCAAAGGAAACAAGATTTTTATTTATTTCAAATAGCTTAAACTTTGTATTTTTCTTTATATTCTAAGATTAGATGGAATTGTGTGAAATCATGGAAAGTTTAGCTCCATTATTGATTAGAAAGATTTTTTTTTTTTTGTGGAGGTAGCTTGGTAACGCTAATATTTAGATATTCTTGGAGTTTACTCTTTGCCCATATTGTCAGGGTCTATTGTCTGGTTAGACACATGAGAACTCAGATAACTAGAGTCATGCATTACCTACTTTGCAGTTAAGCCCTGCTTTTGTCTTCCTTCCTTCCTTCCTCCCTCCCTCCCTCCTTTTTTTCTTTTTTGGTTGCAGACTGGCCCCATCCTGTATGTGCTAAATACACTTAAATTCAAGGCTATCGGGGTTACATAAGCAAGACTGGTTGAGATTTTTCCTCATTTTTACTTAATGTGATGTTAGCTTTTTTTTTTTTTTTTGTATTTCTGTGATGTCCTTTTTGTTTTTGTTTGTTTTCATTTCACTACTGGTAGCTTTAGTTCATCAAAAACAAAAAAGCCTAGGCGTTTTATTCTGGTACTAAATACTGTAAGCAGAATATTAAAAATTCAGACTTAGTAAAAAGTACCCTGATGTGAAATTATTTTTATATTTCTGTATTTGAGAATTTGTCAGTTTAAAAAGTACTAAAAAGTTACTATTTTGTTCTGGGTGTTGGTTTAGTCACAGACTTTTTGAGAGGCAGAGGCAGGCAGATTTGTGAGTTCGAGGCCACTACATAGGAAGTTCCATGTCAGCCAGAACTCCACAAACCTTGTAGGAACATCAGTCCTCTCCAGTAATTTTAGTGGGATCTCATTTAGAGCATGCAGATTTACTTCAAGTCACTGACCCTCTAATGGGGTTTTACATATTCCAGTTTTTGTTTTTTTGTTTTTTTCTTCTTCTTTCTGAGCCTGTGCCTGACTTTAGTAGAAAACTTAGTTGTAAGCATGCTGGAATAGATCACAGAAAGGGTTGACTTAAGGCACTGGTGCTCACCAGCTGCCCTGAGTTTGCGCTCTCAAATGTTTCTTATCTTAAACACATAACATCTTCAAATATATGTAAATGTTTGAAATTGAGTATTTTGCTTTTGAGAAGTATAGCCTATGAAATGAGATTAAAACACTTATTTTGAATTTTTTTTGTATTCCTGATTGTTGGTGGCATTTAACACTATGCAAAAATCCTTATGTGTCTGTAGGAAGGAATTGGCAGCAGGTTTTGCTCGTTATGCACTACAAAATGCAGCATATTATTTTACTGGTGAGGATGCTGAGCAAACTTACCAGTGTGAAAAGCAGAGCTCAACTGTTAAGTGCATGCTTGTGAGGAGCTCTAAACTGCAGTAGAAATAGGGTGTTTTCGGGATCCAGTGGAGCAACACCAGAATGAGTTTTTGGTGGTATAAGGACTTAAGATGAATTTGGGCAGAGAATAGTGGAGTCAGGTATATTTTGTACATAGACAGAAACAGTGTTTAGATAGGAAGACGAAAAAGGAAAGTGTCTGTTTACAGTTAACTTTATTTCATGGACTTTGACAAAATGATTCTGTATTAATCACTTTTTCTAGTTCCAAGGAATTGATGCTTAAGAGTTGCATTTCCACCTTCCAGTCCCTGGCTCAGTAAATGCACACCCATCGGCCTACTCCAGGTTCTCACTGTCGCATGACTTCCAGTGTGTGTCCACACACTTGTTTGCAGCTGCCATGAACAGCAGAGATGTGCTATGGAAGGAAGGGGGTGCGAGTGCCTCCCTCCCTTCCTGTCTTGTTGTTCCGGCTCTCTTACACTGCTAGGGCCCCAGAAGCCTGCAGTCCTCACCGGAAGGTGCGATTGTGTCACCTTTGGCTGCTGTCTGATCAGTTCGGGGCAAGTGGGTCCAGTCCTTGCTCTGTGCTGTTCCTGATCGGTCACGTCTTCTTACTGTCACCTACCTTTTACAGGCATCATAATAGAAGCTAGACAATTTCTTTGGGGAAAAGAGACTTATTTAATGTAATTTAAAGACTTTTCCACTAGAAAATGAAATATAATTGAAAATATCTATTTTTTAGCTTTCAGCAATTGATGGTGCTTTGTTGTGGTGTCTGCTGGAAGTTACTGCCATTTTAGGGATTTTCATTAACCTCACCGGGAAAGAATCTTGCTTGTTAGCTTCTTTAGATCTCTAAACAGTTTGTTAGTGATGGTGAACTCTGTAGGAGGGTCTGTTCTGAGTCATCAACTTCCTGTAAGGGGAAAATGAGCTGGTTACCAGATATACCATTGAAGCAGGGTGGGCTGCGGGTGGAGGGCTGGTGTTTGTCTTGAGAATTAAAAACTACGAAACACTTTTGTATACAACTGAATTTTTAAAAAAATAAACACATTTTTAAAGATGTTGAATTTCCCACCCTTATTGGGATTTCTTAGAAAAATAAATGCATGCATGTCCTATCCCCCCACCCCCTGCACATATGGTTTATGTATTACTTATGGGCAAGGAATTAAGCCTTCACATTAAACAAGAGCCAGAAACAATGCTTTCAGCAGTTTCTTCACAGTGGTGCATGTGCTAATAGATTCTGTGAGTCGTGTCAAGTCTTTGAATTGCAGAGGTTCAGGTTTTTACTCACATTTGCTTATTTGTATATGGGGAATTGTCTGGATAGTTTTGGCCTGGGATTTCAAGTTCTCCACTTTAGTTGGTGGTTGAGGCAGCACTATTCAGTTTTTACACATGCACAAGTCCTGGAAAGGTTGCATGGTACCGTGAAGACTCTAGATGGTCTTGGTATGTCCTGGATTTTAAACTTAGTTCTAAGGTGACTGAGTCTGGTGGTGGATGCCTGTGTTCTCAGCACTCAGGAGGCAGGCAGGCAGGCTCATGAGAGCTACATAGTTAGATCCCATCATAAAAGACCAGGGCTTTTCTCATCTGGTTCTTTAGGTAAATATGTGTAGCTTTTTGCCTCATTTGTAAAATGAGATGAAATGTTAGAGCTATCCAGTATGGTGGCACATTGCTCCAACCCCAGCACTTGGGAAGTGCAGGCAGCATGGTCAGGAGCACCAGGCCAGCCTGGGGCCTGCACGAGACTGTGCCTCAAGAAACTAAAGGAGAAAGCACTAGAGGGTTTCTGTATCTGATGCGACTGCATGCTGGGACACCGTGGAGATGATTAGATACTGAGGATTTCTCTTTTGATCCCTGCCTTATCCCTTGAGAAGGGTTTTACTGGACTTGTCGCTACCCGGTTTCTCCCCAATGCTGGGATTACATGTATGTGTCTATGCCCAGATCCCCCTTTTTTGTATAATTTTTTTGAATGTAGTGCTGGCACTCAGCTCAGATTCTAATGTTCACTGAGCAGTCACCCTTACCTCGAACTGTCCCCAGTGCCCCCTAGCTTTGCCTTCACTCTGCCAAGGAGGGCTGTTGTGCTATTGTGGGAGACAACGAGACAACTGGAGCAAGGTGTAACCTAGACAGTGAAGATAGGCAATGAGGGAAGATTAGAGGGAAACATGGGGAGCAGGAGGCAGTCCTCATAGGGCCTGTGGAGCCCAAGGAAGCATCCTGGCGTATTTATTTATGTAAAGTTGCAATTTCTACTTTTGTCCTCATTAGAGTTTATGATGGACGAAAGCAGGCTGGCACAGTAGCTTAGAGGTAGTTGAAGCATGTGCCAGGCTCTGGTCCTCACTCCCACCCCTGTGCACCCCGATCCTCACCCAAACCAAAGCCTTTCTTCAATGGCCTTTCACTGATCCTCTTGCACCCTAATTCTAATTCCTGCCGGTCAGTGTATTCTTCACTACCTTTTCAGTTCTTGTTCAAAAACCCACATCTGAATAACTCAGTCCAGCATTCAGGAGGTTGGACGAGGATCACCAGAGTTCAAGGCTACCAGAATACCACCAGAAAATCTTTCTGGTTCACTGTTCTATCTTTTCTCACAGTTGCATCTTCATGCTAGGATTGTTGTGAAAATCCATTGCTCTTCAAGTTAGACAAAGAGCCTAAAACAGAACAAAAACCGCATCAATTAGTGTTGAGGCTTGGATATATACGGCTGTGATAATGCAGACAATATGCTGGCACCTATCCACAGCATAGAAATACTGGTACCCTTGGGCTTTTGAAGAGTTTATGCTGTGGAGCAGCACCTGCGGGCGGCAGTGATGAGCTCTAGCGTAGGACTCACAGGACACCACCCACACAGTGCACCTGGCCCCTGCTCCCATGGCTGTTCCTTGGCTCTTTTCCATTTGTGATGCAACTAGTGGTGCCCCTGCGAGGGACCAGCACTATGCTGTTTAGACAATTTTAACAATGAAAATGTCCTCAAACATACCTCCTAACTTGCCAGTTTGGCCTTCTCTTGAGCTTATACTATATAGTTGCTACTGTTAGTGGGTTTCATCCCCACCCCCACCCCCCACCCCCCGCCTTTGTTAACACAGGTTTCATGTTTTAACCTAGCTGGCTTGGAACTTACTATAAAGAGCACACTGGATTCAATTGGTCATCTTTCTGACTTTCTCTCCCAGGTGCCTGGATTACAAGTTAATGTGACCATGTCTCAAACTATTCATATTCCAAAGCATACAGCACTGCGGGAGCCATAAGCAGTTGGATAGCTAGGAGCAGCCCATTGAGTGAGGCTGTCTTATTTCCCTGGTTAGGTGTGTAGACTGATTTTCCTCTTAAAGGATTTAGTATTTTCACTCCAGGTGTAGTGTGCACACCCTTAATCCCAGCAACCAGGACATAGAGGCCAGCATGACCTGCACAGTGAGTTCCAAAAATACCAGGGCCCCTTAGAGAGACCCTGCCTCTAAAACAAAGCCGGTTCAGATTTTTCTGTGATGATCACCAGGGAACGAATGGATAGGAAGACTGTACTTGTTTGCAGAGGGCACGTAAACCCAGAAGTCTGACAGATACAGCCCTGGGGTGAGATTTGGCTGAAAGTTGGGCTTCCTGCTGCCCAGGCAGGCAGGTAACTAGAAAACTTAGGATCCTCAGAGATCACAGGAACAGCATGAAAATGAGGACGAATGTGGTAGCTCCCTGGTCTGTACAGGTGTTTGTGGGTGCACATGTATTTTGGCCATGGGAGCCAGAGATTAATTAACCTTGAATGTTACTCAGAAGCCATTCCCCTTGTATTTAGAGATGGTCTCTTACTGAGACCTGGGTCTTGGAGACTGGGTTAGGCTAGGTGGCCACTAAGCCCCAGCTCTCCAATGGTTTCTGCCTCCCCAGCACTAGCATTATAATTATGCCGTCACAGCCAGCCCGTTAAAATGGTGCTGGGTATTGAAGTCACACTTGTAAGGCAAGTGCATTAGCATCTGAGCTGCCGCCTCAGCCCATAGTCATAGCTTCTCCAGTGCTGACAGGCCTGAGGGAGAAGAGATAGAAGATCATCTTCATGAAAGTATTGTTCAAAGGGATTCAGTGAGAAAGCCGAGTTCATACACATGAACATTGACTCCGGAATCTCACCATAGGGCTGGGACCCAGCGGTACAGCACCCACCCAATGTTTACAAGGCCCTGGGTATGGCTGCAGCATCAAAAGGCAAACAGATACATACTGGGGATGGGCCGTTAAGCTCTTGGCAAGCATTTGTAAGGCCCTGAACTCAGTCCTCAGCTCCAAGGAAAAAACAATGAAATAGCTATGGAAACAAGAAATGAAAATGGCTTCAGTCCTAATGACCATGATCAGTATAGTAAGAAAAAAATCCTGAAGTTGGAACTTCCCTGAAATACACGTACACAGCAGTACGTTCCCGTGATGGCAGAATTCAGGAGAGCCTGGGCTACATGGATTATCACAAACCACTGACTGCATATCCAAGAATAAAGTATTGAACACAGGGCAACCTGGGCTATATAACAGTTCTCACAGTGAGAACTTATCAAGCAAATACAACTCCCCAATCCAAAATAATAACTACGTTTAAAGAATGCAAAAAATAATTTTAGAATAAACATGGCAAATTTTTAAGAAATTAAAGGGTCATTTTACCAACATAATGTTTATAGGCGCATTTTGTCTCACAGTATTGGGGAATTCGGGAAATCTGAAAATGAAACACCACCATTTCTGTCTGTGGAGACTTCCAGTCTCGATGCAGAGCACCTCTGTGCCGTTCAGAAACAGCTCTGACTGGCCTCAGATCCAGTCTTGTCCAGAGTCCTGTGATACAAGACGGGTCATAGTGGCTTTCTTAATTCCAAAGCATTGAATTGTTTTGATGTGAATTGGTTTAAGGATGTCAGATCCGCTGGAACTGGAGTTACAGTTGTGAGTTGCCAATTGTGTTGCTGGGAATTGAACTCAGGACCTCTGGAAAAGTAGCCAGAGCATCCAGTGCTCTTAACTGCTGAGCCATAGCTCCAGGCCCTACAAAGCATTTCTAACTAGTAGTTCCATTCCCAGCTGGAGTGCCAGCGTGGGGTATTTCCATTTATTCAAGGTCTCAATCTTGGCCTTTCATTGGGATTTTGAGGAACATGAGCAATGAATCCACACAAGTGGGGAAAATATGTAAAGGGAAGTTATTACTTCTGAGAGGAGGTACACAGGGCTACAATGGCAGAGTCCAGCAGCCTAGTGCTGCCCTCTAGTTTGGGGCAGGACCAGAGCACCCCACATGGTAGAGGAAAAGAGCTATCAGATCAGGTACAGCACCAGGTACAACTAGGGTTACCTGGAGTGAAGGGCAAGAACTGGCAGTAGAAATTATTCTATTTATGAAGAACAGAAAACCAGTAAAAATGAGGTTACAATTATAGAAAAACATGCAAAAAATCTTATTTGAAGTGTAAGGAAACCAATAATGTTGCTCTTCGTGAATTGCCAACTCAATGAAAACTGAAGCCAGTAGTGGGACACACATTACTAAGGGAATAAACTTCTTTTTAAAAAATGATGCTTTTAATTAAGTCCAGCTGGCCACAGGCAAATCTCTGTGAGATCAAGACCAGCCTGGTCTACAAAAGTGAGTTCTAGGACATCCAGAACTAAGCAGAGAAATCCAATCTAAAAGAAAAAAGAAAAGAAAAGAAAAAAAAAGGAAAAATAAAATGAAGAACAAAAAGAAAAAACATGGTACTTTTAATCAATGAACCAGACCACAGTATAAGCAGATGGTTTCCAAAATACCTCTAAAGAATAAATGTGAGCTTGGCTTGTGTGTTGACATGTGTGAAGGCTAGGGCGTAGCTCAGGGACAGAGAGAATTATTATGTCTACCACGTATGAATCCCAAAAAATGTGTTATCTACATTTATGCGCTTTTAAGATTCACCGAGAAATTCATCTACTAATATACAGTATGTAATTTACTGCATACATAAATACATTTAATTATACCTCAATAAAATTGGATAAAAAAATGAGCATATAGTCCAATGATTTATTAACACTAATTTGCACATCTACCACAATCAATTTTTACTCTGTGCAGAAAAACTATGTATGGCTCTCAAGAGTTTGTCATGACAAGGTCTCATTAAACTCTGTTTGGCTTAGAAGTAGCTAGGCCTCCACTGCAGTGCTGTGTGGCGGTACCGACCTATAACCCCAGCGAAAGTGCTGGAGGGTAGGAGGATTCAAGGTTATTGTTGGGTACATAGCTAGCCAGGAACAGCCCAAGATCCACGAGATCCTGTATTAAGTAAAAGTGGGTCAACTGCTGCTACTCACACTGCTGTCCCTATCCCCCAGTCTCAGGGGTATCTGTCTAGAGAATACATCTCTACTCTAGCTTCTACTGCTTATCTTCCATATAGCAGTTATATTATTTCTTTTTAAATATTTATTATGTATACAATATTCTTTCTGCGTGTATGCCTGCAGGCCAGAAAAGGGCACCAGACGTCATTACAGATGGTTGTGAGCCACCATGTGGTTGCTGGGAATTGAACTCAGGACCTTTGGAAGAGCAAGCAATGCTCTTAACCACTGAGCCATCTCTCCAGCCCCCAGTTATATTATTTCTTAAGACAACAAATATTTGCACAAAATGGTTTTTAACCAAATAGAGAATAAGCTGCATGTTCCTTATCATGATACTATATATGACTTTACTATCACATCAGTTCCCAACTACTTTCCTCTTCTTCTTTGCTAGATAATGACAGGAACGACTAGGTGCCAAGGGGACAACGCCAACTCTTTAGAAACAGGCAGTAATAAGGAAACATGATTTGGAAACACCCCCACCTGGAGTCTTGATTATCAGCCTGGCCCAAAAACCTTAGAAATGAGACATATGTCTGTGCTAGAATTTGAGGCAAGAAAACTAACCAGGCTATTATTCTTACAATGTTTGTGAAAATGTGACGTTCTGGTAACTAGGTAGAAGTCTAAGGCTTGGGTGGGGGTAGCAATCCCAGCTCTTAAGGGATAGAGGCAGGAGGATTAGGTGTTCAAGTTCATCCTTAGCTATATACTGTGAGCTTAAGGGACAGCTTGTGCATGAGACCACATGGGGTTCAGGATGTTGGACAGAGAGCTTAGAGATTATGAGCCTACAGAGAACCTGGGTTTGATTCCCAGCACCCACATTGGGGCTCACAATCAACTCTAGTTCCAGGGGATCTAACATTCCTTTTTAAACCAGGCATGCACATAAAATACTGGCATGCATGCAAGGAAAACACTCATAAATAAACAAAGACAAAAAAAAAAAAAAAGGAAAGGTAAAAAGGGATGGAATGTAGAAGGTTCTGCTGGCCCATTACCTGACAGGCAGCAAGTTGTCAGAGTTGCTAGAGACTTGTTGAAATGAAGACAAAGAACTTGGGTCAATACATCTTTCCTTCAGCACAGAGACTGGTTGAGGACTATCAGAGTTCCCCCCTCTGACTTTTGTAAATATTCAAGACCAACATGAAAGGGTGTAGTGGTTACATATGACTGACATCTTCTCTCTCTTCTATTTCATGTGACATTACTAATGATATAATAAATACCATAACATTTTTGTTAAACTGCTAAATGATACTGTATTGTTTGGGGAACAATGGTCAGAAAAAGTACAGCACAAGTACACCCCCTAGAAAATATCCTTCACCTTAGTTCTTTGATCAAGTTTAGAATCTATGATCATATCAAGAGGTTAAATATGGGGAGGATCAGATATAGGTAAATGTAAAGCTAGTCTGATGGTCTATCCCATTCTGTCCATTTCCTACTCTGTCCATTACGTGATCTGCTCACTCTCCATCATTAAACCAGCACATCATGCTCACTATTTGTGACACATTTACCACACAACAGGAGGGAACAAAGATCATTCCTTCTTAAGTTCTTAGCTTAAAGAACAGAAAATTTTCCAAAGATCCTTCAGAACTGATTGTCCAGCATTTTCTTCTTCAGTCACTATAAGCTCCATCAGAGGCTTGAATGGGAAGTGAGCAACAATGTCTCATAGACACAGGGCGCATGGATATTCAGGTTCCCACACTCCTATATAATGCTGCATTTCTTGGTTTTATTTGAAACAGTGCATATTTGTAAGCATTTTATGGAAGGATTTTACACTTGTCATTTACACAAATTACAAGGTTCTGCTTAAAGTCTTTAAAAAAATTCTAAAAACCCAGCCCATGTGCAGCACAGGGATATGCAAAACTACTTTACATTATACACACTTTTATCAAAGGATACAAAAGTCTGGCTTGTAGTTTTAGACAAATACAAGAAGCTTCAAACTAGACACAAAGGGTTAACAGTAATTCTCAAATATAAGTCTGCACTTTTGTGTTGTATTTCTCTGAGATGTAAATACCAAATTCCTAAGAGATTTTACATTTTCTTTTTCAAAGAAAACCTGACACATTCCAGTAATTGAGTCCCTCATGATTAATCCTTGAAGAGTTTTCTCTCCCCTCCCTTAGAGCCAGAGGTCTAGTCCTCATGCTTACACACCCATGAGGAGCAGACCCTGAAAATAATGGCCCCACTGCAAAACTCCAGAGAGACATAACGAATGTGGACAGTTCTGCTGTGCTGTTACAATATTTAACACCCAGGGACCTTCCCTTCTTGCACCTTGTGACTAATCGGTGGCCCTAAGAATCAAGTTGTCTGAACTTCAGATTTCTTCTAAATAGAATATAGCACTGATTGATTGAGGGACCTTACTGATCCATATGCATAGATACTCTGTCAGCATATTGGAGGCAATGTTTTGTTCTTTCTAAAAGGTTATGGAGAGGCAGCAGGAAGAGTAGGGCTTTTATGCCCTTTCAAGAAATGTTGTTGTCATTGGTATCCACTGTTCTCTAGCCATCTTCTGACACCAAACATGTACATGTAAAATAGCTAAAACACTTAAAAGAAAAAACCCAACTTTCACCCAGTCAATTTATAGTCCACTCTCAATTATCTATGAGAACCTAAGTGACATATCATCTATGAATATCATTCTGGAGAAATTTTGACACTTCAATGATTTTATAAATCCCATTGAGACCAAGTCATAATGCAAATATAGTAGCACATTCTGCTAGGGCTTTGGGCACAATCCAAGTGGGGACAGTAGAGACCGGCAAAAACTCTGAGGGCGAGAAAAAGGTCATTTCAAGTCTCTCCTCAACCACTCTTGCAGATGCTTTTGCTATTCTCATGTTTATGATGACTACAAAACTGCTCACTTGAAGAACAACCCCTCTTTTACACAGATAACTGAGAGTTGACTGTGATCATTTCCTTTGCTTCTCTGACTTTAGAGATGAAAGCATGATAAAAAGATTGAAGACTTCCACAGGACATCTAGAAGCATTTATTTTATGCAAAAATGAAATATGATTATGTGTACACAAATGGTGCACACATTATCTATGCTGAACAATGAATGCCAAGGAACAGAATATTGATGTAACAGTTGTCTGTGAATTAAAGTTAAAAACTGAGCCCCAATTATCAGACAAAAAAATAAAGGCTTATTTCCTAACAGCGGGAACTGACGGCTGCCAGCAGTCCTACAGCTGTTTCCTTACAAAGCTGCCAGCGTCCATCTACTTCTATCACAAAGAAAAAAACAAAGACAAAACAAAAGGGAAAAAAAACAACTCTTTTTTACATTAATAATAAAAATCTGGTGACAAAAATTATAAAACCAAATCCAGGACAGTCTTTACTCCTTTAAAAATCCCAAATATTCCAACATAATCATAGGAGCAAAACCATTTAAAAGTGATATTCCTTATGAAACAATATGTACATTTATAGCAAATTATATTAAACTAAAACAGGAGAAATCATAATATGAAGTGTTTACGACTTGCAAATCAATAATAATTTTAATTATTTTCTCATTCTGATAAAAACCAGAAAGCAACATTTATAAAATTGCCACGTATTACTTTTCATAGCAGGGAACAGAAATCTGTACATCTCATTTTTGCAGAAAAGTAGACAGGCAGAAAGAATAATACAAAAGTTTCCAAAAGGAACACAAAGAAAATGCCATCTGATCTCCTGTAAGCACTCAGTTCAGAGGACGCCCGCTCTCCTGGGGCGAGGATGGCCGCTCTTGGTGTCAGTGTAAGGACATCTCCACTCTAGTGAGAACTGCAGCATGGGAACAATGGTTATTATGCCTTTAAGCTCCAGATATACAGGAACTGGAAACAAGAGTTAAGCAATTTGCTTAATTATTGACTTTTCCCAGGAAAAGTCTGGGGAGGGGAGAACAGAGACGCTCTCAGCCTCTCTCTAGTCTCTGCTGTGCATTCCCGCCAGAGGGCCGTGGCTGTGGAAAGGAAGGCGAGCTTCTTTCAGTTTTCAAGGCAGAGAGTGTGTATTTGAAGTGAGCTTCATTTTCTGTTTGGGGACATTTGAATCCAAGTTTTTACAGAACCTGGAATCTGCTTCTGTTTGGCCTTCATTTTCTCCCTGTATAAGTTCTCTTTTTACCTTAGGAACAGAAGAACACAAAGTTAGAACACAGGGAAGGACGAGCCCAAAAGAACCATCTACTGTGTTTCATACTTTCAGTCTAAAGTTGTGAACTAAAACTTACTTTTCAGACCTGGAATTTGACTGGCTTTAGGGAACAACCCTGAGCTAAAGAAAAACACAATGCCAGCACACAAGTCTCTGCGCTGCTGCCAAGGGCTGTGGTCAGCGCTTATCTGTTTACAAATGCTAAGCCAGTCATCTTGAAGAACTGCAGGTTTCTAATTAATCCTTTTAAAAATGAAATTATAGGAGAAAAACTATAACTAGAAATTGGACAGTAAGTTTATAAACAGCGAAGCAAGTCTTGATTTTTGAGCTGTACGAACAAAAATAATTTAGAACACTAAACGGTAACAAACCTAGAAAAACCAAACCAACCAACCAAACCAAAGATTAAAAGGAAATTTACTTTTTACTGAAAGTATATGTATAGCAAACTTAATACAGAAGCCTGGCATGGTGCCACAGGCCTATAATCTGCAGATGCAGGAGGCTGAGGCTTGGCCTGGGGTGACATCTACAACCCTGGAGACCTACGAACAGTTGTACAACAGGAGTTATGTCATCTTCTCACTGCAAAGCAAACCAGTAAATCGTTCTGCTCAAGAAAGACCAGAATTCCAAGATCCTTAAACTCCCAAGACGCCACACTTAGTATGCACGGCAGACATGGACCTAAAGAAAACCATCATCCACTGTCATACCTCTCTAACAGTTCAAATCTCCCATATGTTGTAACTTTGAAGACTGCTTGCCCACCGTCTTGCCTATTTGTGACAGGTTCTCACATAGACCAGGATGGCCTCAAAATCTATTCGTAGCCAAGATGACTTTCACCTTCTGATGCTCTGCCTCCATCCGGAGAACCACTGTATGTGTGACCACGCCTAACTAATGTGATGCTGGGGATCAACCACTGGTGTTTACTAATAGCTTCTTTGTCATGGAAGAATCTGCCTCCAGTATAAGCAGAACATTAAGAATCAGTAATATTTACTAGTATTTTTTGTTTGTGCTGGTCTTTTATTTTGTTATCTTTAAATTATAGAGCCTGGAGAGATGGCTCAGCAGATAAGAACACTGACTGCTCTTCCAGAGGACCCAGGTTCAATTCCCAGCACCCACATGGCAATTCACAAGTGGCATCAATTGGAGTATGTAACTCCAATTCCAGAGTATATAATGCCCTCACAGACATACATGCAGGTAAAACCATACACATTAAAAAAAAAAAAGTCTATTACATTTGCTGTGGGATGTGTCAGGGCCAGGTCCTCATGTTCCAGTCAGTTCTGCTTCCACTCTGTGGGACCTGGAGTCTGACTTGGTGGCGAGTGCTTTTACAGGTTGAGTTATCTTTGCCAGTCCGTTGTTTCTAAATTTTTTTAAAATAAAAAGTTTGAGCAGTAGCTGGCCTTCAACTCATAGGCTTCCACCATGCTCTACATCTGAGGTACAGGATTAAAGGTGTGTGTCACCACCTTTATTTTTGGTTTTATCAGACTGAACTAAATAGAAAATCTAACAAAATTTCACCATGGTTCGTTTCTTCTTATTGAGTGTTCCAACTACTCTAAGTTTTCCAATTTCCAAAACTATTGATCTTTCACTTATTTCTTTTCACTAAAACTTAAAGTGGGGGCTTTTCTCTGCATGTGCTTTGAAGGAAGTTCGTCTAGTTTAAAATGTGATTATGTTAAATTCTTGATATTTACCTAACAGTTATTAAAACTATGGTGCCATACTCATCTTCACAAGAAGGATCACACAAATGAACTGCAAATGGACAACATGCAAATAAACTTCCTCAAATCATTTATAATAACAAGTATAAACAACAGCAGGACCAAGACAATTTAATCTTGAAAGCACAGTATTTTAGGATTTCAGCACTGTGCTTGCTGTTCAATCATCCCTTCATCATTCACATAAGCAAAGGGATGGAAGGCTCTATCGGCCCTCAAACTCTGGAAAGCTGCTGAGCTTCAATGCACCAGCGCACACCTTCAGCTCAGCACCAAGGATTACTGGATTAGCATTAGTTACTCTAAGGGTTTAAACAACCCAAATGTGAAAACCAAGAATATGAAATGCTACGAAATACTGATGATAAATTACACACATGATCAAGTGATAGAATATCGTCAAGAATATATACGCACTAAAAATATTCCATGAAGCTACCTTTTTATTTATTTATTCATTAGTCTTATTCATGTAGCCCAGACTGGTCTCAAACCAGGCAAGTGTGACTTTAAACTCTTATGCCACCACACCCAAGTTTTGATGGTACTGGGAATGAATCATCTGTGACATGCAAACACTTTATCAACTGAGATACATTCTCAGCTCAAATTTTTTAGGATTTGTGTATAAACATATAAGTAAGGCCCAGTAACTCATGTCTACAATTCCAGCACATGAGAGGCCTAAAAGCAGGAAGATGGCCTAGAGTTAAACAATGATCTACAAATTCAGCTCCAGGCCAGCTGAATTTGCTTGGTCTACAGTGAGACTGTGTCTCAAAACAAAACAAAAAAAGGTCCGGCAGTGGTGGCGCACATGTTTAAACCCAACACGCGGGAGGCAGTGGAAGGTGAAGTTGAGGCCAGCCTGGTCTACAAAGTGAGTTCCAGGACAGCCAAGGCTGTCTTGAGAAACCAAACACACACACACAAAATAAGAAAAACTGCGAATTTTGTGTTAGAATTGGTTTCTATCTCTTAGGTATTATTATATACATGCAAATGCCATAAAATTCAAAATCTAAAATGATTCCACTCCCCAGCATTTCAGAGAATAAAGTCACCTTAGATTTCTATGTAGCAAACTATTTTCAGAACACAGCAGAGTTTTGAATATTCACATTATAGTACAGTAGCCCTAACCACCCAATTTTAGGGCGTTCCCAGAGCCCTCCACTGAAACTTCATCAACATAAGGTCTGTCTCCTGTCTGCAAGAGCCACTACTGCAGAAACCTCACAGGGGCTGCCAATCTCCAGCTGCAGAAACAGAGGTTCACACCTGCAACCCTGGCATTCAAGAGGTTAAGGTAGCAGGACTGCAAACAAGCAAAAAACACCCCTGAATCATCATGTCCTTTAGAAACTAGTTTATTTAATTTAGCATAATGCCCTCAAGGCTCATCCATTATGTTCAGAATGTTATTCTCTTCAAAGTAGTAAATTAAAAAACTACTTTAACTTTTGATCTTTTCCTCTTTTGAGACAAGACCGTGCTTCATAGCCCAGGTTGGTGGTGAACTCATTAGCTCCTCTTTCTGCCTCACAGGGCTGGGATTACAGAGGGGCATCATCATTCTCAATTTTTATATATTTTCTGTACCAATACAATTAATGAAAATGTGTCCTATTTCCCCAACGTGGGTAAGCATGTCCTTTCCCACTCTGAATACTTTGTCAACACTTTCCATGGTCCTTGACATGGTGAGGATGAGTGAGGTACATTACCTTTGTAAGTCAATTTGTCTCTCTGCTGGTGTTGCCTTTTTGGCTCCATCTTGTAGCTTGGGCGCTTTGGCATTACCTGCTTCCAGACCCCCAGGGCTCTCCTGGCTGCCTGCAGCTCTCTTCCTTCCCTTGCTAGTGGGTTTATTTAGATCATCATTTTTGGTTGCATTGCCCTGAGATTCAGATTTGGGGCGACGTCCTCTTCTAGGCTTGGAAGGCGCAGGAGGTCCTGACTCATCTACTATCTCATCTGGTTTTTGTTGGATATTCTCAGCACCAGCTGCTGCTACAATCCTCTTCTTTCCTCGGTCACTGCTGATGTTGCCTTGGGTAGGCTGATCAGAATTAATTTCCTAAAAGAGCACAAAAACAAATTTGTAAACACCAATTCCTTAAATACCTGCGCATATTAGAAAAGATTATAAATTTTAAAAAACAAACTCAGTTTTTAATTTTGTGTGCGTGTGGATCCAATTCATGTGTGTGTGAAGTACACTGTGTGTCTTCCTCTTCAATGTTTAGCCTTATTCCAGGTTGCTCCCTAAATGTGGAGTTTTGTGATGTTTGGCTTGGTTGGTAGATGGCAAATTCCGGAATTATACTGTCCTTCCTGGCTCACTTGAGTGGGGGGTGGTGGTGGGGTCACAGGTCCATATGAAACCACACCAGGATCATTACATGGGTACTGCAAGCCAAGTTCAAGTCTTAGTCATGCACCAAAGACTCTTTATCACTGACTCATCTTTCCAGCTCCCCAAAAGAATTTGAACCCACTATTACATTTTATTATCTATTTTGAGTGTGCATACTTGCATTCCACAGCACATGAATGGAGGTCGGAGAACCACTCACAGGAGTCAGTTCTCCCTACCCTGTAGGACCTGGGGTCGTATTAACAGTCCCTCTGAAACCATTTTACAGCTGTGATGCCAGGGTTTCTCATGAATTGCTTCATTCCATTACAAAAGTAAGCTCCCAGAGGATAAGGAGTTTGCCTGGAGCCTACCTTAGTTGTGTGGGGATATATAAGATGCTAAATGAGTACCCGTTGATATCAAAAGGGACACACTCTCAGTCTCGCCCCATTACACCAAGGTTCAGTGCTCATCACAAGGACTATATGGACGAAAGATGAGGGGAAGTGCTGAGCTCTTGAACTCACTGCAACGATGAGCTGCTGCCCAAGTCAAGTAGATGAGGGAGTATCCAATGGTCAGGGCTAATTTGACTGAGACAGCTCCATGAAACCCCACACCCACTTTTGTCTTCCTTGGGGAGTTGCACACACCTGACACACATGCACACAAAATAGTAAGCTGTAAAGAAAGTCTACTTGCTTTCCCTTCATGTTAGTTCCTTTTTTACTAAGGACATTCTCCAAATGTATCACTTTTCATGGAAGGGATATTTTCATAAATCAACAAGGCTTTATTCTGTTGCCTCTCAAATAATCTGTTTTGTTCTAACTTGAATCCATTCGCTGTTTTTTTAAATGTGAATTCAATCATTAATCACCTTCTCCTAAATTGTTTTAAAATTCAATATTACCTCGCATAAAATGTTAAAGTAATAAAACCCATTTCATCCAAACCGGTGTAATGGGCTTTGGGAGAAGCAATGACAGGCAGAATAAAACTGACCTACACACAGATGACATTTAGGAACAAGTTAAGTTTAACTATATAATTCCAATTAATGAAAAGAAAAGAAAAGAAAAGCTAGGCTCGACACACACTATAATCCCAGAATACGGGAAGTTGGGGCAGGGAATGGCTACAAGTTTGAGGCCAGCACGGGTCACATAACAAACACCAGATAAGTCTGGATTATATACTGAGACAAAAAGCAAAAACCAACCACCAACCAAAACAAAGAAAAGAAAATGGTCATTATGCAAAAAACAGCTTTTCAACAGTTTTCAATTTTCTCAGAAAAAGTATTTCTAGAATGAGTGGGAACAGCAGGGGGAATATCACAAAGTAAATCCAGAAGTCAGTGTCACACCCAATGCTTTAGTGTAACTTTAAGTCTTCCCTTGAGAGGATGTCTGATCACAGTGCTTGCCAATAACAGTTCTCATGGACTGCAACCCAACACATAACACACACAATAGGGATATGCTCAAGTCCTTTTGAAGAGACATGGAGATTTTGGGGAAAAACAAGGTGTGCCAATCACACAGCCAATGTCTGTATTAACTGGAATGACTCAGGGCCTTATATAGTCAAGTCCTCTATCACTGGGCTAAGACCGAAATCTTGGGAGGCTAAGGTAGGAAGATTTCAACTTGAAGTCAGCCTGTACTACAAAGCAAACTACCCATAAGGTCACACTCACTATGAGAATACATATACATATGAAAGGAAAGCAAGTAAAAAGCTAAATGTGGAGGGAGGCAGTTCTGATATTGTCCCTCACCTGAATCCAAGCAATCTTGGTTCTTTGAATACACCCAGTTCTCATCCTTTATGTTACAATTTACCACACAAATAACAAGAGCGAATACACTGATCTGTAAATTTCATCCACGTTGGGGATAAGGGCACATACAATCCTAGTCCTAGGGAGGTGGAGGCAGGAGGATGGCCAGGAACTCAGGAGTTTAAATAGTGAGTACCAGGGCAGTTTGGACTATAGATTAAGACATGGTCTAAAAACAACACTTCACCAAAACAAACAAATAACAATAATGCACACACACGTGCACGCACTGTCTTCATGCAGACTAGTACATTGATTTATATATCAATTTTAATGAGAAATTGTCACCAAAAAATATTCCAGGTCTGGAGAGATGGCTCAGTTGTTAAGAACATGTATTGTTCTTGCAGAGGATCTGAGTTCAATTCCCAGCACTCACATCAGGTTGCTTGTAACTCCAGCTCCGGGGGGATGACCCTATCCTCAGATACACGTACATATACAGACATGTACACATAAATTAATAATAAAAACATTTTTAAAATTCCCTTATATATTTATAGTGCCTATACTAGAGAAAGGTAGCAAGAGGCTGGAGGCATGAAGGACAGACCGGAGGGGACCTAAGAGAAATATTTTTGAAAGTACAACCATGTCACGTTAAGTTACCCTTAAGATAATTCTTTGAAAATGTAAAAAGAAGTAAAGGTTTAGTTTACCATTTCAAATCACTCAGAGCAAAATTACGACCATTTAAAAATAAAAATTTACATGTTCAATTTGCCTAGGGTTACAGCTCAGCAGGCACCCAAGGTTTACATTTGCTATCTAGTATAACACACAGAGACACAGACACACATATAGAAGGAGGGAGGAGCCCAGTATGTAAAGAGTTCACTTTGAGGAGAGGTGAGTGAAGTTACAAGGCCCCACGAATGCATCTGATTACTGTAAGCATAGATGACTCAGTGTCTATAGCAGAAAGGCACCTTATGAGTTTCTTTATGCCCAGTTTACTTAATTCTGTACACGGATCCCATAATAAGCAGATCTAGTGGTTTCATTTCAAGAATTTTGGTAGTGAAGGAGCTCCTGTGTGGTTTATTATCATGCTCTGTTTCAAGCCATTCCTACTAAGCAACTAATTTCATTATACAAGTGAATGGAAGGTTACAGAAGTAAAGCAAACTCAACCAACATGCAAGCCAGTGAGTGGCAGAGCCAGAATTAAAATCAGATCTGACTTATTCTCCTAGCACCCTCAAGACAGCTCACAACCAACTGCAACTCCTGCCCCAGGGAATCCATCTCCTCATCAGACCCCACCCCGCCCAATTCTCAAATTTGTTCTTTTAAAGTGTTTGGAGTAGCAGTGTGGAAAAGTGTGTTACTATAAATAATCATCTACAAAATGAAGAGGATGGGTATAGAAAAGATCATTTTAGGAGAGCAAAAGTGCAGTTGAGTATGAAATTCAAATAAACATTATTTATATAAACTGTGGTATTGCACTAACTTGCTATCTATAAGTTTCTTACCACAACCTTGAAATTGTAGTAAAAATCTCTATAGGGAACTCTACTTATTTGTTTACATACTCTAAATTTTATCTTACACATATGATTATCTTGCTCACATGTACACCTGTGTATCATATGTATGCCTGGTGCCTAGGGAGGCCAGAAGGTGTCAGATCCTCTGTAGGTGGAGTTACAGACAGTTGTGAGTTGTCACACAGGATTACTGAACTTGGGTCTTCTGAAACATCATTAGTATTTAATTGCTAAGTCATCTCTCCAGTCCTAACTTGTACTACAAAAAATGAAGAAACGTTTACCTTATTCTTTACAGTATCAATATTCTTTACAGGCGTGACAGAAATGATTCTCACAGGATTCTCTTCATTCTCACTAACTCCAGTTTCTGATGCCTCTGAACTCTGTTCCCTAGTAGAAAAACAGGCAAACAAACAAAAAACTAACAAAGGTCTTTCATTTACTTTATTACACCACTTTTATTTAACATTCATAGCAAAAGACATAAATCACTGCCTATAATCAATCAACAAAAAAAAATTGTCAAGAAATTGGTCTAAGCAAGGCAGTGTTGGCTCACACCTTTAATTCCAGCACTCGAGAGGCAGAGGCAGGTGGATCTGAGTGAGTTCGAGGCCAGAAACCATGGTGTACAAAGCGAGTTCTAGGACAGTCAGGACTGTTACATGGAGAAATCCTGTCTCCGCAGGGGGGAAAAATTCCCCCCAAAAGAAATCATTCTAAGCATTATCTCAAAGCAGAATTAAAATAATTTTACTTATTAATAGATTGATTGTATTACTATGAATCCACCTGCCAGGGAGGGGTTGAGTCCCCATTGGTTTAAACCATAGGTCTTCTAGAATTTATATTTTTGAATGTGCTGTGATGTGATTTAAACACTATTTTAGTCTTAAATTTCAGATAAGAGTAAAACCTTAAAAGCCTTAGTACTTAAGTTTGTAATTCTAGTACAGAGGCTAAGGTAAGAGGCTTGCCACAAGTTTGTAGTATACCTATAGTGTAAAAGAAGGCTTTGCTTGTAAGCCAGGTGTGGTGGCACATAACTCCAATTCCAGCACCAGAGAAACAGAGACAGAGGCAGGTGAGAGTCCAGCCTAGGCTACACATCAAGTTCCAGGATAGACAGAGTTACACAGTGAGACCCTGTTTCAGAAAAGATACAGTACACTGTTGAGTCTCAACATTAAAAAAAATCCTAAAACACATGAATATTATTTTATATTCCACAGAAGCTCATCCTATGGTCTAATGCCTTGGATATAATTTAAAACGTAAGCCAAGCAGTAAGTAAGAGAACAAAACAGAGAAAAATAAATTGCCTTGAACGACTTCCGGCTGAAGGACTCAGCTCTGAGTTGGCATTAATATTGCTTCCAGTCTCTGTGCCGGCGCTCCTAACATAAGGCTTTCTTCCTGTTGCTGATAAAGGCTTGTTTACTGTACCTAGCACTCCAGTAGGCTTTGGCTGGAAAAGCAAAACAACACAACAAAAACCACATATGTTATTTTATACTTTAGAGAAAGGAATACATAAAAATTTAGAAACAGCTTAAGATAAATGTTTTAATGTTTAAACCAGGGGTGGTTGTTCTCTTGGAAAATTATTATAAAGAAAATGTTTGGCTCTCTTAAAATAAGCAAAAACATATGGATTATCTTCACTTAATAATGAGGTAATATTTGCTATCTCTTATTCCTTAATTAAAACAAAATGCATGCCTCTTAAACACATGGAAATAAATGATGCATTTACCTTAGAAATAGACAACTGAATATGTAATCTTACACCACCTTGCTTTCATGAACTATTATCTATCTACTGTATCAGTGTTTCAAATTATTTATTTTTCTTAACTACTTATTTTTATTTATGAAATTCTTCACTATGAATTTTAAATAGTTTTAAGCTTTTCACAAGAGCTAAGAGCATACAGCAATGATTTTGAATAGTGGCTTACTGCAGAAAAATATCTGAGAACACATATGCTATACAAACCCATCTCTAATAATCTGGGGGCAAAAAGGCACAAGAAACATACTGAACAAAGCTCCCAGGAGGAGATGTGTTAGTACCTTTCCTGTTAACAGAAGCACTCTTGTCTCTTCTGAAATATAGCTTTTGTCATTGCAGAAGTCCTATTTTGAAAAAAGAACAAAACAACAAAATGGAACACTTTTATCATCTAAACAGTGCAGCTGTCCCTGGATCCGTGCAGAGGGGCATTTTCTCCCATGTAGTGAACCCAGGAAACTTTCCCACAGAATAACATCCTCAACCTCTGAACATTTCAAACTTCTGTTTCTTTGTTTTGAGACAGGGTTTCTTTAAACATTCCTGGCTGTCCTGGAACGCACTATGTAGATCAGGTTGGCCTCAAACTCACTGAGATCCTTCTGTTTCTTCCTCCACAGTGGTGGGAATAAAGACGTGCACCACCACAGCCAGCAAGATCATTTTTATTTTTATGTGTATAAGTGTTTTTCCTACATTTGTGTAAGTGTACCATGTGTATGCAGTACCTGTGAAAATCACGTTCACCATTTTAAACAAACTGTACTTCTAGTTTTTCATATTGTTCAAAGTATTATCACTACCTCTTAGTATAGTATAAAATCTACTTTTCAGCTGATAAAAGTAGACAATATGTATTTGTTAGCACCGTGATTTTAAAAACAGTTTCCTGTAGCCCAGCTGTTGGGTTCCCGATGCTCCTGCTGCCATGCTAGCTTATCCTAGGTTATCTTTAACCTCTAATCTTAACAGTATTTATGCTGGGTACAGTGATGTATGCTTATATTCCCAGTTACTAGGAGGTCAAGGCAAGAGGATCTCAAGTTTAGAGCCAGCCTGAAACAGGTCAAAAAGCAGGAATTATTAGAACTGTAAGACCTATGTTCAAATCACAAAGACAAACACACTACAAAACAAATAAGTAAACATAACATTCCCTAACAGTACTGATACCAACCAATTAGTCAATAGAAAAGTTAAATCAACTGCAAACACTGATGTTTTACTGAATTATGTCTATCTGTATCTAAGCTATATTTTGAGGGGTGAGGGATTGGAGAGGGAAGAACTCTGGTGACCCTGGAAACTCAGTATGTAGATTAGGCTGGTTTGTATTCACAAGAGGTCCAACCTGAATCCTAATACTGGGATTAAAGCTATGTACTAACTACTATGACCAACTCAAAGTTTATCATTTGATGACTTTCCCTATTACATATGCTGGAAGTTAAAAATAAAGTACAATAGTGTTAGTAAAGCACCTGGGAGGCAGAAGCCGGATGATCATTTGCCCTTTGGAGTACAAACTCAAGATCAGTTTGGGTGTTATAGCAAGACATAATTTGGGGGGGTGGGGGGGGACACGGACGACCGGGGCCAGAGGTGGCCCATAGGGCTGCAGAGGAATGTCTTACTAATTTCATTTAAAAACACATTTAAAGAACATTGTACATATGGACAAAAATGGCCTTATATAGTACTGTACACATTTTTCTTTTAAGAAATGTACCTTCAAGCAGCTGTGATAGAACAGAATGAGGGGCTTAAATGTACCTATGAGGTCTCTCTTTCTTTGCTTTGGCTGTCCTGGAACTTGCTTTGCTGAGATTCAAGGCGCATGGCAGCATGCCTTTAACATGTTAAGCAAATATTCAAACATCTTATATCTTATCAATCTATGCATCCATCCTTCCCCTGGCCTTCTATGTGTCCATCCATCCATCTATCCACCCACAATTCCTCTGGCCTTGAGTTAATGATGTTCCCGCCTCGGCCTTTCAAGTGCTCCCAATCCAACAGTGCACATCTTGCCTGCCAACACTGTCCCTTCTGTACAATTGAGAATGAAGCTCACTGCAGCGCTTTATGCCTAGCACTTTGTAGTCCTGAGTGTAAAGCTCAAAACACAAATATACACAACAAAAGAAACACACAAGTAGCTATCTTAATAAAATAGGATAAAATAATGTTAAAACCTGAAAGCTTCTTGTCATACCCAGAATGCAGGACTGAGCAGTAGCAAAAAGCTCCATTTGGACTCTACTGCCTAGAGAAGAATAACAAGCTTCCATTTCTCAATAAATTTAGAGGCTTTTTTTTGCAATCTGCCCTTAAAAATAACTATATAATATTCATCACTGGTGTTGATGATAAAAATTCAATTATCTTTAGTGTGATTGAAAAATAAAATGAAGAAAATTACCTTTTCAGGTTGTGTAAAGAACTTCATTGGGAGGACTGGATCCTTTGGCGAGTCTGCATTGCACAAAGCACTTTTACTATTTATAACACACAGAGCCACATCACAAACTGTATAAAGTTTCTAGAGAATAAAAAAAATAAAGACAATTACATAACTTCCACGATTACATAATAATCACAAGTACCAATTCCATCAGATATATAAATTCAAGTTGAAAGACATGTGACCCCTCGCTCCTTGAACAGTTCCTGTTTCTGCTCAGCATTCTTCAGAATCCCAGTAAAGGCAACCAAAATCATATCCACCTTCTCTCATTAGAAAGAAGTTACTAACACAAGACTGCTGTATATTTTAACAGTTTGTACCCTCCTCGGGGTTATCGATTTTGTTTTTTTTTTTTGTACAATGTTTCCAAAAAAACAAACTTTGTGAGTATAAGCATTAAAAAGAAACTCAAAACCAGGGCTGGAGAGAAGGCTCAGGAGTTAATACTACTCGTTGCTACTGTAGACATGGACTTGGTTATCACAACTTAGACGGTAACTCATAATCATCCATGACTCTGGTTCCAGGGGACCTGGTCCCTCTTCTGATTTCCATAGGCACTAGGCACACACTTGGTACACATTCATGCATGCAACCTACTCATATACATTAAAAATATCAAAAAAAAAAAAAAAAAAACCAACCCTGGTGGTGGTGATGCTTGCCTTTAATTCCAGCAAAGGCAGGCAAATCTCTGTGAGTTCAAGGCCAACCTGGTCTATAGAGCAAGTTTCAGGACAGCCTAAGCCATAGAGAAACCCTTTCTGGAGAAAATAAAAATCTAAACTATCGGGCAAGTTGGTTAGTGTATTTTCCTTTGATATCCACTCCCGACATTTGTCTTACCTCATTCGTCTTGGACTCATCTGGAGACTGGGCATCTCTGGTCAGCTTAATGTTCTCTGCCATCTTCTTCATAAAGGCATGACTATTGTTCTCATTCTTTGTCATCAAGACTTCAAGCATAAACCACAGGCACCTAAGTGGAAACACATTAAACAGAACAAATGGCTTTTTGCTTAATGGATTAGTCAATCTTACTGAGAAGCATGGTTGTTTATAGCGGAGCCTAGGAAAATCACTTCCACTCTCTCCTCTTGCCACAGCACACTCATTAACACAAAACCTGTGATGATGGGATATGAATGGTTTCCAAGGACAAGTGAACCCCAAATCATACAAAACACAAGCATCACTTGGGGAATTGACAAATATGTGGATAGAGCTTTTTTTCCCGCCAAGTTCCCAAAACGATTTACAGATTAGAGTACCTGCTGTATTCCACTGAAAATGTAGAATTAATTTGATAACATTTTATGTGAGGGGATGGGGATGTAGTCATGACTTTTATCTCTGGCAATACACAAACTAGGTGTGGTCGTACACACCTGAGAGGTGGAGGCTCAAGGTCTTCTCACTATAGAGCTGGTTTGAGCCTACACCATGCTACAAAAGACCTTATTCAATTTTCTATTACACGGACATTTTTGCCTATATTAAGTGTTATATGAGCTCAGCTTAACAGTTTACAAGAGGGCCAGGCAGTGGTTGTGCACACCTTTAATCCCAGCATTCGAGGGACAGAGGCAGGTAAATTTCAGGGAGTTTGACGCCAGCCTCCTGGTCTACAAAGTGAGTTCAAGGACAGCTAGGGCTGTTACAGAGAAACCCTGCCTCAAAAAGTAAAAACCAAACCAAACCAACCAACCAACCAACCAACCAAAAAACAGCAAAACAAAAAACCAAACCAACCAACCAACCAACCAACCAACAAAACACTTTTCATGAAGTAGTTAAGGTATCTGTATTTGCTAACTCTGGCAGAGTCATATCTAGTTGACTGTTGGAATTCTAGGCAATCAAAACACTAAAACAGAAAATGCAACAAATACAGAATTACCCCTATCTAGGAACTTTTTTTTTTAAAGGGAGGGATCAAATGCCATCAGTTTACCTATATAAAAAGATGGAATCAGGATTCTTATACTTTTAATGAAAACATGTAACATAAGTATAAAAAGTTTCATCTGAGCAACTATATATACATGCAGCATTATCAGAACAACTAGTTATACTGCACCAAGGTGACTACACTGGACTCAAGCATTTTTTAAGGTTGAGACACTCAGTTTGTTTATGTGGACACTTCACAAATTCTCTGGGTTCAGAACTCTAACATCCTATTCATTTGGAAGATACTTTATATATATAAAATTTATTTTCATTTTATGTGCACTGTGCATTGTGAGGGTGTTAGGTCTCATGGAAGTAGAGTTACAGACAGTTCTAGGTTGCTGTGTGGGTGCTGGGTAATGAATCCTGATCAGAATAGCCAGTGCTCTCAACTGCTAAACCCTCCCTCTAGCCCCAACTTGCAAGATTCTTGATCCTTTTACAGAGACCTACAGCATTAGAATTACTGCCTTAAGAGTATAAGAGTCATTGTTTTTAAAAGTATTAATAGAAAAAAAAAGATTTTAAATGTAGCCAGGAGGTGGTAGCACACACCTTTATTACTCAGGAGGCAGAGGCAGGCAAATCTCAAGTTCAAGAAGAGCCTGGTCCAGAATGGCCAGGGTTTCACAAAAAAACCTGCCTCCAAAGACAGTAAATACAAATGTCTAAAACATATATAACTGTACCAACCTTCATACAGAAAATGCTAAGATGCTCTATGATACAAAACAACTTAAGAAATACGGACATATCCTTTTTTTTTTTTTTTTTTGAGGAGGGGATATTTTTTTAAAATTGTTTTTATTGAGCTATATATTTCTCCTGCTCCCCTTTCTTCCTTTTCTGTCCCCTCCCCTCCTACTCTCTCCCATGGTTCCTATGCTCCCAATTTACTCAGGTGATCTTGTCTTCTACTTCCTGACGTCATTTTTTGTGAAGTTAGAATATGTTGAAAACTTAAGGGCCATGTAAAACATACATATTTTTTGCTTTTAGCCTTGCCTGGGCTAGCTTTAAACTCTTAACCCTCCTGCTTCCGACTCCTGAGTATTAGGATTACAGATGTGAGCCTCCGCACTCAGCAAACACACACATATGTATCCTGAAAAAACATGGGACTGCAAATGTTATTCATCTTCCACAGCACACATAGCCCATGTACTGTGCTCACAGTTGTAGTCCTCAAAGCATGGGTTCCTTCCCAAATCTTTTCACCGAGTTGCCTGAAATATATCCTTTCTATGTGTAGAAGGCAGACACTAGTGAATGTCCACCTCCACACACCTGAGACCATGCTCCAAGCACCTCCCAAAACTTTTATTGCATCCCCTGCCTTGAAGTTACAATCCCTTTTCTACCACATGTTGCATACTTGTGGTTGGGAAGCAGTCAGCTTCTTTCATCTCTGGTAATAATTCCAATTAATTCATTAATTAAACAAGTTCTATGTTTATACCTTGGAAGCTTTTGCCACTTTCATGGCTATGTGTACTCGCTTCTCCTTGTTACTGTCGCCTATCAACTTCCTGTGACGTGTACACTCGTTCATTTCTAGACTACAGTCTATCAACTATCCATATAGCCTGCCATTATCCTTGGCTTCCTCCCTACTAGTGCATCACTGCTTCATTTCTGGTACATTTCCTTAAGGCCCTCTAGTCTTAGATATTCTGAAGCCTTGAAAATTCTTAGGAGTGGTATTCCAGGGAAAACATAACTTCAAATATCCCCCTTTCTGGATACCTCCTTCTGGAATGTAGACTATTAAAGCCATGGTTTGGGGCAGAGAAATGACTCAACGGTAGAATGGCTACTTAGCAATGTCTAAAGTCTCTAGGACATGTGGTTGGGGGAAGGGCTATATTCTTAGAGCTCAAAAAAAAAACCTCTCAGCTGGAGGCCTTGCTAATTTTCTAACACTTTCTATCTCCCTTGCTCTCCAGTCTGCTACTGTGACCTTATTTATTCAACGTTTAGCGCATACTTCATACTAATTAGATCATACTAATACACTTCTCTTTCTAATACACTTGCCTTAAAAACTCACAACTTGGGGACTGGGGAGATAACTAAGTCAGGAAAGTACTTGTCACTCAGATGAGAACCCGAGTTGATGCCTGGTCTTTGTATAAAAACATGGCATTGTGACTGTTGCTTGCATTCCTAGCAATGGAGAGGCAGAGACAGGCAGATCCTTGGAGCTCCCTCACCAGTCTGCTTAGCCTAGTCAGTGAGACATGTATATCCCAGTGTGTAAAAACCAAGGTTGACCCTTGGCCTCCACGTGCACACATGTACTCATGGTATGTATGCCCTGCCACCATACAAAAACCTTCAAGTGTTTGGGTTCTTGGCAGCATAATTCAAAAACGTTTAACTGCTGGGGAGAGAGCGGCTCTAATGACAAAGACTCCCACTTGCAGGAGAGGGTGGCGTATTTTCAAGGTCATGCCTGGCTCTGCAGTAAGACTGTGAATAAAGTGGGATATATGAGACCTTGTCTCAAAAACAAAATTTATCTTTGTACATAAGCTAACAAATTATCAAATTGAATCTCATCTTGACAAGAAGCTGTTTTCAACCTTTACTGTGTTCATACCACTCCAGCACCTTTACTCCCGGGGAAGGATTTGTTCCTATATCATGACAAACAAAAGGCTACAAGATCACTGACTTCATACACAGTACTCATTCCACAGTAAAACTGCTCTACAAATAGATGTGTGTGCGCTCTCATCTCCATGTGTCGTCCAACACCGTTTCTCTTGAGCTGAGAATCTCCTGCTGCAGACGCACACCACTGCACTAGAATCACTAATAAATGTAACCTTTTCACACCTGCCTGGCCATCTAAATATCTCCTAAGAAAGCTTATACTGTGAACAAGTACATACACCAACTTTAAACTTTCAGTTCTTTTCTGGAAAATATCTAAGTACAAACACATAGCAAAGAGGAAAGTATATATTATTTCAAAGTTTCTTAGAGGTCTCAGTCTCTTTTAATTCACTCATTCTATATCAGATCATATATAAAACTGTAGCTTAAAAACAATAATCCAATCAAATTTTATAACTATGTAAAGTCTTGCCCCAGATCTTTTCAAACATGAGTACATATTTCTTTAGATTTCTTTTTCTTTATTTAATTTTTGATTTTTCTTTTAAGGATGATATAAATATTACTTTTTTTTAAACCCCATTAGATTTTTGAGACAGTGCCTTAACTATTCCAGGCTGATGTGAATCTGCCACTAAACTGAAGATTACCTTGAACTTCTGATCAAGTGGAGGATTATAGGTATATGCTCCCATGCTTGATCTATGTGTGGCTGGGGCTCTAACCCAGAGCTTCATATATACTAGGGAACATACACGACCAGCTGAGTCACATCACCAGTCCTGATGATTATTATTTTAGGAGAAGTAGGGTGTTCGCTCTCTCCTCTCTCTTTCTTGCCCCTCTTCCTCCTCCCTTTCTCTCTCTCTCCCTCCCTCCCTCTTCTCTCTCAAAACTAGCACGTTCCAAGAAAAATGTTAAACTAGTAAATAAATTCTTAATCCATGAGGAGAAATTTTCACCACAGCCTTATAAATTACCAAACTAAAGCATAAAATCTAAAATAAATTATTAATCTATTTCAGGACTTAGAAAGAGAAGTATCTATAAATAGGAAACACACAAAAGAGTAAGGAAAGGATGGTTAAATAGAAATAACATTTTAAAAAATATATAAAAATAAATTAAGAAAAATTCAAGGGCTGGACTTCAGCAGTTAGGAGCACTGGCTGCTCTTCCAGAGGTCCAGGGTTAATTTCCCAGCACTTACATGGCAGCTCACAACTGTCTGTAACTCCAGTTCCTGGGGATCCAGAATCCCCAACATAGACATATATGCAGGCAAAATGCCAATACACAAAAAATTAAAATAAATTGTAAAAAAATAGAATTCAGGATATTCCCATGGAATTTCTGAAACACATAACTTACTCTTTTATATCACGAAGTTGATCAACATCTTGTGATCTTGTAAAATCAGGATCATGGGCTAGCAGGTGAATCATGTATGGAACCACATACTCAGGCAGTAGTGATAACAATTTCTCTAAAATGAAAAAAAATTATGGTTAACGAAAACAGCTTTTATAAATTCCTTCATTGTTTGAGTTCTAACCATTTGCTTCTATTTTTTCTCAGATATTTACAAACGGAAAGGAATGTGTGTTCAGATGATACCGTAATATTTTTACTTTTATCCTGCAAGAAATCAAAACCAAAGAATAAACAAATTATATAGCAGATGACTGAAACAGTCAGGAAAAAAAAAGCATATACTTTAATATCTGAGTAATGTGAACAAATTAAACCACACTGCTGACTGCATAATAAAATATAGTTACCTAGGACTATCCCCCCCACCTCCCTCGAGACAGTGATTCTCTATGTAACAGCCCTGGCTGTCCTAGATCTGGCTTTGTAGACCAAGCTGGCCTCAAACTCAGAGGTCCACCTGCCTCTGCCCCTCAAAAATGCTGGGATTAAAGGTGCTTGCCACCACAAACAATTTAAAGATAAATATGATTCCAATACAAGATTTCAGTTTCTACACAAACTACAGCTACAATGACAATACTCTATAAAGTTAACCATTTTAGGATAAACTACAAGGAAATGTATGTGCTCTATTTGATGTAAACTGTGAATTACTATGGTTGTTTGCATGTAATTGGCCCTCATATCTCATAGGAAGTGATACTATTAAGAGGTGAATCCTTCTTAGGAAGTGCGTCACTGTGGGGTAGGCTTTGAGCCTCAGACATGCTCAAGCTATGTCCAATGTCCCAATTCCTCTTGTCTGCAGGATCAAGATGTACCTTCTACTCCTCTCTCAGCTCCTTTCAGCAAAATGTCTGCTGGCGTGTCACCATGTCCCACCATGATGATGATGGACTAAACCTCTGAAAATGTAAGCTACCCAATGAAATGTTTTCCTTTGTAAGAGTTGCCATGGTCATGGTTGTCTCTTCCCAGCAAGAGAAACCCTAACTAGGACAACTATCACGTGCATACACACCGGTAGCCATAGGGTTCTGTTTGATGTACTCCCTGCGTATGCTGATGTTCTTTAGTAAACACTGGCGTGCGTGTGCTCTTCTTTCCTTCACAGGATCTTTGGCACACAAAGCAAAGATCGCCATATACTCCAAAGGGAGCAGTAACTTCACAAGTGCTTTATGAAGCTTCTGGGCAAATATTTGCCTTACTTGGTAGCACTCATCCTGCATCAGCACAAAAACAAAGATACACAAGACAGGTAAACATTTGCTTACATACGTGCATGCACTATAAATGATGATTAGTATGGAACAATAGTGATAATCTCTTATGTATATTCACATATTAAATGAGTCTGTACTCAAAGCAAAGTAAACACATTCAACTTTGAAGACAAGGATTTGAAAGAAGTTTTCCACTTACATTAATAACAAGTGCACAGAGCTGGAACTGTTCTGGGGTAATAATTTCATGGTAACAGGGTTCCTGAGCAAGCTTCATTATGGCGCTTCCAGCAGCTAGCCGCAAGCGAGACATATCTGATTTACTATAAACAAACAAAAAGAAATAAACATTTTCTATAAACATGATTACATATGAAATTCTGATTGTTTCTTGAGTGTGAGACTGATAGTAGGTAAGTTAACATGTAAATAAAGGCACTGACTTTGTGTCTACGAACTCAGCCTAGAGGAAAGGCTCCAGGTAACTGTGGTTTCTGCCCATGGTCTACATTCAAACTTTCATTCAACAAAGCAAGTCTTCTTATTCTACCAAACAAATTACTTAGAATGCTAAGAAAAGCTATTTCGTCACGATCTGAATCCCTCGTCAATTACACTATTAATTGTGAAAACTTGATTTAAACAAACCAAATAGAAGCCAATCATTTTAAAACTATCACCACATATATCTATACACATAATTAAGACTCTATATTAATCTCACAGCTTAAGAGTAATAGGCAGACAATTATAAAGAACCAGATGTTTCAAAGGGAAAGACAGAGATTAGACTATGTTTACATGTATATTTTAAATGGTTATTTTTATCAAGTTTCATGAATGTGGATGTGTCAGTATTAACATGTTTAAAAGGAAAGAAATAAAAAATTTCAGAGTTCTACAAGGAGGGTACCAACTCAGAGGAGAATAAGTACAAAACCGATTTTCTTAATTTCCACTACACAAAAATATTTAATTTTTTTCAATTTGATGAGGAAAAGGGTATTACTTAAATTTATATCATGTTACTTAGTTTACATTTCCAAATAGTTAAACTTTTTTTTTCTAGGTCAACTGGCAATATTTAACACTCAGCTCCGCTGAGGATTGTGCCTGTGTATCACTGAGTTAAGAGACCTCATTACAAGGCATTTCAGTACTGTAAAGGTATGCCAAAGTTTTCATTACTGCCACCCTAGCCCCTTCTGTTGGCTTACACGCAATAAGAAAGTTGGGTTTTATTTTATTTTGGCATATTGCTTCAATTGATCAAAGCATTAAACATAATATAATGAACTAGTTGTCATATATAACACTTTCAGAAGCAGATTATATACTTTTTGGAGGAAATAACATAATCTTAAAAAAACAAAAAAAAACAAAAAAAACACAGCAGTACCTAGTATCCAACAGTGTTGGAGACTGTGGACCACCAGACCTTGAATTTCTTGTGAACAACTTGTTTTCCTCTGCTCTGAGCAGCCTGCAGCTAAAAGAACCCGAGAGCTGGGGCGTGGCCACAGCCCTATATAAGCTACCCCTGAGCACAGTAAAGTGAGTATTCTTATATCAAGGATGTCCCTGTGGCCCCATCTGTCTGTCTGTCTCTGTGCGTACATCTTTAAATTTTCAGCCTGGTTACCATAGCGCCTAATGAGCAGAGCGCAGAACGGAACTGGTGCAGTTTTACACTACAGCACTTAGTAAATACTGAATTCGTGAAATAAAATATAGCCCTGTGTCCATCCTCTCACATAAATTTAAGTAGAAATCACGAGTTATGTTCATTGATGCTCTTGATATATCAAGTATTTGAAAGAAATAAGGAACCTGACAATTTCCTCAAGGTCGAAATTAATTTACCCATTTTCCCCCTTTTTGCATTGAACTTACTGGAAAGCCTCTGCTCTCCCCCTCCCTCCTTTTTCTGAGCCACCATTAGAAGCCATTATTGTCTGCAAGCCATCCCACTTGTTCCATCACATCACAGGGTGATCTGTCTTTGCTGTACTTTTCACAGCGTTACAAAGAGCAGAAATTCAGCTGTGTGGTGTGGGGCTTCCCTTTATTCCCAGCACTTGGGAAGCAGAGACAGGCAGATCTCTGTGAGTTTGGGGCCAGCCTGGTCTACACAGTGAATTCCAGGACAGGTTCCAAAGCTATTTAAAAAAAAAAGTCTCAAAAATAAAATTACATAAAAAATTTAAACAGAGCAGAAATTCAACAAATAACTGTTTGATCAGTCACTAAATATGAATGTTTACTAACACTGAAATGATTATAAGTTTAATAGCAGACACTCATAGTTTTCGAAAATGATGAAAAAAGGCTAAGATTCTTCAATGTATTCAAGAGAGATAACTCCTAAGCTTACAGTGCAAGGCCAGCACTTAGTATCAGTCAGGAAAAGAACAGTATGCAACTCTTACCCAACCTTATGGTCAAGGAAACTAGGAAGAGCTCACCTGATCCTCTTCTGCTCTGTCAGGTCACCCTCACTGACCAACATCGCTGATAATAACCGAAGAGTTGAATTGGCAGACTTAGACTGGTTGTTTTTCATACCCAACAGCCACCTTACCAGAAGTTTAATTGCCTGTACCTATAAAATATTAACATGTTAAAAAAAGAAAGCAACTTAAAATTCCAAATAGGAGAAAATTACTTTTAACAAATTTGATTAATCACACTACTTATCCTGATCAGCACATACTGAAAGAGTAACAGTGAGAAAGAACATAACTCTGTTCAACCTAAGGATGCACTTTTTCCAGAGCTGTACATGTTGCATCTCCAACAGAGGAGACAAATGGTACACGTTACTACAGTGGTTACTAGAGACCAGGCCAGTGTGAGGAGGGAGGAATGGGCGCTAACTGGTACAGCACCAATTACAGAATTAGTCATGGCACACCTTTAATTCCAGCAGCCAGGAGTCAAAGACCAGCCTAGTCTACAGAGCAAGTCTCAGGACAGTCAAGGCTATACAGAGAAACCCTATCTCAAAAAACCAAAGTAAATTTTTATTTGTTTATTTGAGCATCTCTCTACAAACCCCTGGCTTCCCTGGAACTATGTAGACTGGGCTATCTAGAACTCAAAGAGCTCCATCTGTTTCTGCCTCCTGAGTTATGGGGTTAAAAGCATGTGCACCAAGTAACTTCAAATATAACCGTAGGTGGATAATTAAATTAGGGTTAACAATGATTAACTGGACATTTCAAAGGTAGTGAGGACTATGAACATTCTTAATACAAAGAAATGATAAGTGCTAAGAATCTCCATAAAAAGTACAGTATCAGTCAAAAATCTTTAAAAACTTAAAAATAGTCACTAAACCTATGATGATTAAAAATAATTATTTAGAGGCTTTTGTATCACTGTAGTATCAAAAACTGTTGAATAAATCAGGTCTGATATTCACTAAACATCTTGACTAAAACAGTGTTTACATAATTATTTGTAGTCTTCTTTACTAAAAGACTATTTCTAACATACATGAAAAGCCAGTTAAAGACGTAAATATTATTTTGTATACTTTACTGGCCATCTGACAAAAATAAACAATTACAAAACAATATAGGCTCACACATAATGAAAAGTATAGGGCTGTACTCAGTGTTAGAACACTGACCCAGCACCAACTCAAACCTTTAAAAAAAATCATTGGCAACTACAACTCTTTAGAGCAGTATTAATTTACAATGAATTTTCAAATAAAGTACATGGGGTTTCTCAGCACCAATAGGGTGACTTACAACTACTTGTCACTCTAGCTTCAGGAGACTTGCACTCCTGTGCACATGCACACATACACACACACTGCCCCACCCCACAGTTAATAAGTAAAAAATAAAACAGCTCACTACAGAAAGCCCAGGATACCCACAAGCATTCCTTTATTCAACATAAAGATCATTAGGAGCTATCCAAATTTACCTTTGCTAGTACTTCAGGAGAAACTTCCTCATCTGGAGACCACAATTTTCCATTCTTCTCACCTGTTGACTACAGACAATTGAAGAAATTGTTTTTTTTCATGTTGAGTAATATACATGTGAAAATAAATAGATAAAAGAACTTAGAAATGGAGAACAAAATTAGCAGAGTCATACTTTCCAATTTCAAACATGCTATAAATCTACAGTAATCAAGATCGTGGTGTAAGAACAGAGATACAAAACAATGGAATAGAGAGGAAAAAACTTTTATTAAAAACACTTCTATTGTAAGGGTCAATTCATTGACAAAGGCACACATACAAAGCTGTGAGAAAAGAACAATGTTTTTAAAGAAATGGTGCTAAGAAACCTGGGTCCCAACAAACGAAGACTGAAGCTAAACTGTCCTAGCAACTACAAACATCACCTAAACGGAAAGCATACTAGGCTAAAACTATAAACTCAGTACAGAGCACAGGAAGAAATCTTTGTTACCCTGCACTTATCAAAAGAAGGGGAATGTACAAATAAACCTTGCTGGTGCAGTGGTGAATGCCCGTAATCTCAGAATTTGGGAGGGAGGCAAAGCTAGAGCTCAGCCTTTGTTACACAGAGAGTTTGGGCTCAACCCGGGCTACATGAGACCCTAGCTTCAAAATACCAAAATTTAGCACCTTCACAAAACAACTGAAAGTACTAAAGAACCTGAGTAGACAGCTCTCCACAAAACACACAGACGCCAAGTAAACACGCAGAAACCATTCTAAATATCATAAAATAAACACACCCATAATAACAATATTTAATATTTATTCTTTCAAAAATCAAAACAGCCATTCAAAAAGGAGGTAAAGAAACTGGAACCTTCAGAATAGATTGTTGAAAATATTAAAAATGAAGGGACACTATGGTAACCGGTATGGTGATATCAAAAAATGTTCAATAGCAAATAATCACGACTCAGAAATTTTACTTTTAGTTACTTATCCAAAAGATCAGAAAATATTCTGATTGTACATATTAGGATTAATTACAATGTCAAATGGTGAAAAACAATTCCAAATTGTTAATTAATAAACAAACAAAATGCAGGATACACAAAGCAGTAATTTTCAGCAGGACAGAAAATACATGAAATTTTGATCAATACCATAACAAAATGATTCTTGAAAACATGCCAAGTAAAACAATCTAGATTATAAAAGGACAAGTATAGACCTTAAGATAGCTAGAGTAAATTCATAGAGTTAGCATGTAGAGGTTCTGAAGGGGAATTTGAGTATCGTGCACAATAAGCAGAGAGTGTTTCTATTTGGGAGGATAAATAATGTACCTACAGCTCAGGGGGAAAAGGCTCAGGATGCTGCCAAGCCTGACATCTTGAACTCAATCTCCAGGACCACATGATGGAAGCAGGGAGCTAACTTCTATCACATGCCCTCTGACCTTCACAAGCTCACATATGCACTGTGGTACAGCCCTCACCTAATTAAAAACATGTAATAGAAACTTTTTAAAAAAGATTGTGTGTGGTGGTACATGCCTTTAATTTAGTACTGAGAAGAAAAAGTCAGGCAGCTCAGTTTGAGGCCAGATTGATTTACACGGTGAATTCCAGACCAGCCAAGGAGAGCCACTCCTCTTTTTAAAAAGATAAACAAATAAGGCTGAATATGAGATTTAATTCCTGCACTTGGGAGTCAGAGGCAGGTGGATCATCTCTATGAGTTAAGGCCAGCCTGATCTCCATACACAATTTCAGGCCAGCAAGGGCTACACAGCGAGACCATGTCTTGAAAAGAAAATAGAAAACTAGCGCAGGAGATGGACAAAGAGAGGAAGAAACTAAACAACAACGAGGGTGAAAATATGAATTATGTTAATAAAATGTAGTTTAGAGTGCTCAATGTAACACTAAAAAGAATGATATGTCTAAGTGTGCCTTGTAGTTGAACCTTCCCTAATTCTGTGCTGTTAGAGTCCTTTAAAAATACATTATGGGGGCTGAAGAGATGGTTCAGTGATTAAGAACAATTGCTGCTCTTGCAGACAACCAAGATGCTATTTCCAGCACTCACATCTAGTTCTAGAGGATCCCTTGACTTTTCCTGGCCAAAAAAAGTGGAGCACTGCATATGGTACAGAGACATACATGCAGGCAAAATACTCAACACATAAAATAAAAAAGAATGGCAGGGGTGGTGGCACGACGCCTTTCATCCCAGCATTCAGGAGGTGGAAGCAGGCAAGATTTCTGGGTCAAACTGGTCTGTAGAGGGAGTTCCAGAACAGCCAGAGCTATAAAGAGAAAACGCTCGCTTGAAAAACAAAATGGAAAAAAAAAATCTTTAAAAAAGAAACTCTAATTTTAAAGTGACAAACAGTTATATTAATAGGGTACAGTAATTTTAAAACTAGAACACAATAAGGGTTAGATCCTAGAAGGCACATCAGTCCCCTCAAATCTAACATGCAAAGCATGTGCCTAGGCTTAATGCACACACTCACACTCACCCCACAGATATTCAGAAGTAAATGTTTCTATGATATACAGACAGCCTTAAACTCATGACTCTAAATTGAATAAATAAATGAGAAACTTACCCTGTCATTCATCAGAAGATCTTTAACAATAAAGTTTGCCACTACAGATTTCATTGGTGAAGCAAACTGATCTGGTGCTAACATGGAAATATGGCCAAGTGAAACTAATGGAGTGATAAGTTGTTCTGGTACGTCAGCATTCAGACTCCTACTGAGTGGCTATGAAAGAGAGAAAAGTCACCAATTGGTTTTAAGCATTTAGATGTTCTACAGTCGTTTTACCATGTACAAGTCAATCTGTTTTCCTGATTTAAGTGACATGATCATACTGAATTAGTTTGTAACAATTCTAAGTATTTGGTTATTTCACCAGCTTAAATATAATTTTAGTTCAAGAGAGAATGGCCTCCACAGGCTCATGTTTGAATGTTTGGTCCCCAGTTACTGAAATATTTTGGGAAAGACTAGGGAGGTGGCCTTGTTGGAAGAGGTGAGTCACTGGGGGTGATGGGCTTTGACATCAAAAGTCTATCTATATCTCCATTTCTCTGCCTGCAACTTATAAATAAGATGTGTACAGCTACTTCTGTAAGCCCATGCTTGTCTGAAAGTTGCCATGTTCACTACCATGATGGTGGACTAACCCACTGAAACTGTAAGCAAATTCCCAATTAAATGATTTCTTTTGCAAGTTGCTTTGGTCATGGTGTCTCAACACAGTAAAATAAAAGAGTAATTAAGACAATAATTGAAATTGAAAAAATACGGAAAAAAGATAAAGGGGAAAAATAAAGTCCAAATAAGAGAAGTAAGAATTAGGACATCAGTCTTTTATAATACTGAATGATAAAAAAGTAAAGGTTCATCTCAAATCATATCATCTCCAATTTATAACAACAGGGATGCCTTTCCTGAAGCAGAGTCTGTCTGCCCAAGGCCCATCTACATAGACTGAAAAGGGATTAGCCGTCAGGTATGGTTGGAGGTACTTAAGCAAAGCTGTCAACAGTCTGTGTGTATAGCCAGAGTGGAAATGACTAAAGGTAAGGAGAATATCCTCTAATATAAAATATCCTCCAATATGAAACATGTGAGCCTAGATCAACAGCTGGAATGGAGTGCTGAGTAGACAAGCGCTCTGAGGTGCTTGCAATGTAATGTAAGAACACATGTAAACAGGTTTATAAACTTACACTCCAGCTTTACCAAATGACAGAGACTGAGACAAACCAATGGAAACACATTCTATGTAGTAGGTATACCTCAAATATCTGTGCAAGCTGGACTTCCTTATTGGAGAAGATGGCATGGATACAATGCACAGCCTGTTTAGCTTGGTGTGGAGTACCCCTCTTTGCTTTCTGATGTAAAATGGGAATTAATGTTCTGCAAGAAATAATAATACAGTTGTCATTTTTGGGAGCATACAAATCCTGGGTTTCTTCTTATTCATCATTTCCCCTATTTAATCAGATCTGTTCAAAGGTTATTTTAAGTAAACAATTTTCATTTCAAGGCTAACTCATGAATATAGGAAAATAACAAAGAAGCTACCCTTAATTAATATTCTACAACTTGAACCAGAGCATATTCACATTTACCTTCTAAGTAGACATTCCTAATTTTTCAGTTCCCTTTAATAATTCCCTTCAGTTTTTTCAAAGAAGCCATGGAAAATCAGTAGTAAAAGGCCAAGTTTTATTAAACAGCTGAAATGATATCAGTGAGCATAAGTACACACAGATAGTTACACTCAGTTTGGTAAAATGAAATTAAATATTTCTAATAATCATTCAGTACATGTATGTGTAGCTATCATTTGAGTTATTGTGAACATGTATGAATTCAACAAATGACTATCAATACCTGAAAAGAACTATTATCATGGCTATTATTATAGCCATAGTAAGGAGGAGAAAGCTAAATCATAAAGATATAGAAAATGCCAAAAGTAACACAGATGGGAAAAGGTGATACTACATTCAAAGATGAAACTGAATTTTGAAGGTAAAGATCCATTAAAAAGAAAAAAAAACTCAATTTACTTAATCACTACAATAACATAAAAGATTAAACTAAAATTCTTTCCACAGGATAATATGAGAACAAATATAATAAAAAACAAAAACAAATGATGTCTATATGGCAAAACAAGTGGAGGAAGGAAATGTACTCACAAGAACCTACAAAGGAGGTACATACATGAAATAGGCACACAGTCTTAAAACATTAACAAGCTTCTTCCTTTTATTTTCCTAGCCTCATGAACAGACCTCACCACCAAATCTGGGGACATGTCACAGCCTTATGCATACACTACCTTGGAGGCACACACCCAGCCTTAGTTTCAGCTTTCATGATAAATATAAATACTTTTATAATCAGATGAAATCTATATAGCAACAGAACTCTACAACAAATTATTTGTTAAAACTTCAATACAATTTTTAAATGGTGTTATTTTATATACCAAAAACTTGATGCCATCAAATAAAAAGGCCTGCTTTTAACAACAGACTTTAACAGCAGTATTCAAGAGCACAAGCCATACACCTCAACCAAAAACCAAGAAAGTCTAGAACATGATGGTCAGTATAAACCTGACATGTTTATGAACATCTCAAGCCTATCTCCATGCATCATCAAACTAGGGATTTCCATGTCTAAATAGCCTTGCTAGCCCGAGAATCATTTGTTTTTGTTCTTAAGTTCACATCTATAAGCTCACTACTATTAAAACTGGTGAACACTAAAAAAAATACACTTAAATGTACTTTATTCTCACGATCATTTTCTCCATTATCAATTACCAAGCACCTAATAAATATTTTTATGATAAACACTATTTAATTGCCCTATTTTTCTTTGTTGGGATAGGAAGGTGATAGCTACTGAATTTATACCCAACTTGAAAAAAATGTACAGATTAAAGGATGCATCCATCATAAATATACTAAAATATGTAATTATGTTTATGTGCTAGTGTGTGGGCACGCACACTTGAGTGCAGGTACCGGTGAAGGTCAGGAGTCAGATCTGCTGGAGCAGGAATTACAAGCATAAGAGTGCTGTGAAGAAAGCTAGTACTTCTGTAGGAGCAGAGCGATGTGTGCTCTTAGCTGCTGAGCCATGTTTCCAGTCCCAGAAGATACAGTTTTGATTAAGTACAGGTATATAAAATTATTTTTATAAAAGCAAGCCTGAAGTGATATAAAAATAAACTAATCTTTCTTTCTGTCCCCATACCTTTGTTTTGTTTCTAGAGTGCTAGTATCCAAAGGCGCTACCACGGTGGTTACTGATGTCTTCATACTGTGTTTTTGCTTTTTTGTGTCTATTCCTTTTATCCTCTTAAGAACAAAAGGTTTCCTTCTTTAAAGTTAACTATTCCACCTGTATCTATTTTTCCAATGCTTCTTTTGATACAGCATTCTTTTAAAAAAGGTCTTGCCTTAAAATGTAGAACTATTCTAAGTCTGGAGGAAAATGTTATAAACTACATCCTACTGTGTTAACTTTTTCCTTTTCTGTACACAGGCATTTGAAACAAGGAGGGACTCTTGTATTGTATGTCAAATACGCATTCTCCCATTGAGCTATGTCCTTAACTCCCAAATTCCCTTAAAAAAATTGAAAATATTTATTTATTTATAATGTTCTGCCTGCATGTATGCCTGCACAGCAGAAGAGACCACCAGATCTCATTAGAGATGGTTTTGAGCCACCATGTGAATACTGGGAATTGAACTCAGGACCTCCGGAAGAATAATCAGTGCTCTTAACTTCTCCAGCCCTTAAAGTCTTCTTGCCTGGGATTGCAGATTTGTGACAAGTCTAACCATAATGATCTTTTCATTATATGTACAGATATATAAACAAGATCATTTTTAGACCACAAGTTCTTTGAAGACAGGGACTGACAGTATAGACTTGTATCACACAAATTAAATTTAATAAAACCTTAGGAATCACGTGTTCTTTAATTACATTATGAGAAAAACCTTACTCGTATTTATCATGAATTATTTTCACATACAATGAACATCTGATGCAATAGATAATATCAACATGTTCTTCTATGTCTCCCTCCTTTACAAGTGTAATCCTAAAATGACAAATTAAAATATATAAATGTACTTTATTCCCATGGTCTTGCCACCATTATCAATTACCAAGCAACTAATAAATATTTTATGATGAACACTATTTAATTATTCCTATTTTTTTGTTTTGGGACAGGAAGGTTACAGCTCTGAACTTATATAGTCAATTTTAAAGAAAATAATACATAGATTAGAAAAATAAATTAATCATAAATGTAATAAGATATTTAATTCAGCAATAACATTTTGATTACTAAAATTTTCTAGTCATTTCCTTCTAAACAGTTGTAGTTTGTTCTTATACCTATATCCTAATGTGATGCAACGAGGCAGGGAGGGGACAGAGAGACTAAAGGACACATAAAATCAGAACGAAAGTGGAAGTTTTTTTCTGCTCCCATCTTCCTCCATAAAAGAGAAATCAAGATTCTATTGCTCTCACACACATAAACTTTTGTGTGAACTGGGTTAAAAAAATACTCACGATCGTATCTGGGGAAGGTCTGTTTCTATTTTGTGGCCTGTGTTCCTAAAAATTTGTATTGCAGCTTCTGCTACCTTGTCATCTTCCATTCTTAGGCACTGTAACAAGGACTCATACGTCTCTGCAGAGTGGAACGAGGTAGGATGTGTGAAAGACAGAACCTGGAGGAATAGATACACCTTTAAGAGTGCAGCTCTAATCTATTAAAAAAAGGAGATTTCTTTCAACCAATAAATGTTCTGGTATACATATGTTAGCTACACCACATGAAATACATAGTACATATTTTAGTTACAATTACAGTTACTTTTACTCATGAGGCATTAATGAAACAATGCATGGTAGCTTAAAGTCATTTCCCCAAGATAGCTAATATGCTACCTTTGACGTAATCACTTAATCTCTTGGTTATTACTGCCACTTAGAACAAAGAATATCTTCTTTTAAAAAGAAAAATCATGTCTGTGTATGCTCGTGTTTGTGTGTGTGTATGTGTGTGTACGCACGTGCGTGCGTGCGTGCACGCGTATGTGTACACACGTGCAGGCTCATGCCTATAGAGTCTCGAGCAAATCTTTGGGCATCACATTCAGAAACACAGTTCTGCTCAAGACAGGACAACTTATTGCCTTGGAGCTCACTAGGCTAGAATGGCTTGCCAGTGAGACTCTGGGATCCTCCTGTCTCTCGTTCCCCAGTGCTGGGATTACAAGCATGCTACAAAGCTAGGCATTTTTATATGGGTAGTAGGGATCAAACTTAGGTGCTCATGTTTGCAAAGCAAGTTCTGACCAAATGGAAATTTTTGTTTTATGTGTACTAGTGTTTTGGCCTGCATGTGTGTCTGTCAGGCAGTTGTGACCTGTCAAGTGGGTGCTCGGAATTGAATCTCAATCCTCTAAAAACATCTTAAGTGCTGAGCCATTTCTCCTGCCCAAAGGCTCATTTTTCTCACAGAGAGTGATCTTCCAGTAGTATTAAGTACTCTCAGTCTATAAATAAATTTAAGTAAGAAAATTTTTATTTTAAGTAAAAGCTCCAAGTTTATTGATTTTAATGAAAAACAGAGCTTTGGCTGTCAAAATGATGATCTGTATAGAAATATGTCAAGTGAAATACTCACAGAAAGTTCATATATCATAATTATCAACAATAAAGACAGAACTGTGAACTTTTAATTACAAACATGTATTGGCTTATGTGTTTGGACATGGGCCCTAACCAGTCTCTACCATTAAGGAACTTATACCAGCTAACTTAGGAAATGGCTACATTATCTTCATGTGGGAATGATGAGGCTAGCTTCTATCGGAAACAAGAGCTAAGTAAAGAAGTAGAAAATTGAGCAGTCCATCTTTGTGTTCTTAAAAAGTAAACAGAAATGGGCTCAGTGACGTTTTTATTTGCAGAAAAACTAGAGAAATTCATTTTAAAAATGGACAAAAAGCAGTAGATTAAAACTCTGTGCCTCTGGGCTAGACACACATGAGCAGGGCTCTGGGTTTGATCCCTGGCACCTCCACTGCTCTCTTCAGCACAATCTTGTCTTTCCTTTATTTTGTCTTGCTGTAATTTCCATGTATTTTTGCCTCACCCTCTGTACTGGATTCAGTCGAGCTTGATCCAGTGTTGTGGTTAGACAAGACACACTTGAAGCCCGTGACAACACTGTCTTGCTCCCATGTCACTTCGTAACTTGGAACCAATCCTTTCATTAGTCCTGAAAACAAGTCTTACTTGCAGTCACAGTAAAAATTCTTGAGCCATACCTGGCTGTTTTATAGGTAACTGAATTATTTTGCATTCATTAAGATCATGAATAGCATGCTGGGCAGTGGTGGTGGTGCATGACTTTAATCCCAGCACTCAGAAGGCAGAAGCAGGTGGTTTTCTAAATTCGAGGCCAGCCTGATCTATAGAGCGAGTTCCAGGACAGTCAGGACTACACAGTGAAACCCTATCTGGAACCAATCTCCCCATCACACCACCCCCAAAAGAAAGATCATGAATAGCTTTAAAATGTCCCAATCATACAGATGATGTCAACAACTCCAGTGGTCAGTCAACTACCTCAGATACAATTTCTCTTAAAGATAACTCAGGATTATTTGGCATACACAGTCACAAGTAGAGCAGGAACGCAAAAGATAATCAGAAATAATATTTCATTTAAAAAGATTTATTATGTACATTGGGGTTTTGCCTGCATGTATGTCTGTGTAAGGCTGCCAGGTCCTTTGGAAACGTATTTATAGACAGTTGTGAACAGCCAAGCAGGTGCTGGGAATTGAACCTGGGTCCTCTGGAAGAACGCCCACTGCTAAGCCATCTTAACTGCTGAGTCATCCTTCAGCCCCATATACAGATCTTTTTAAAGAGATGCTACAATATTAATGTAAAAATGACTTTACAAATTATTAAAAACTATTTTAAAGATGCAAAATTTTTTTTATAAGATCTAATTTCTAGATAAACAGCTGGAATCAGTACTTGGCAGTCTGAGAGGTAGAAGGATAAATGAGAGCTCCATGACAGTCTGGGCTATAGAATGAGAGTCTGTTTTATTTTGATTTATTTTTTAAACATTAAAAGAAATGGACGTAATTTCTGCCAGAAATTTTTGATTTTTTTTACACAATCTAAAGTATATAAGCCTGCTGTTGCATACCCTAAAGGGAACACCATTATGAATCTTTAGAAATAAACAGAGATAAAATTGTTTTAAAAATACCTTAAGAAGTTCAAGTCCTGAGCGAATGGCTGAATCTGGACTTACACCCTCCTCTTCATCATCTGCTGTCCCTTCTATTGATTTATTCATCAATTTTACTAGTGCACTATTAAAAGAAGGAAATATAAGTTAGTTAAGACTTCTTGAATTAGTAACAGGATCCCAACTGAAATATGATAAGCATAGAGAATCTAAAAAGACAATGGTAAAAGAAGGTTCTATAGCCTGACCACTTGATGGGTAAGGTTACTTTTAGGTGACCCTCCCCAAAACATAATGTGTATATTATAGTAACAACAACGACTAAAAAATAAGCTATTAATATTAGCTATTTCAATATTCATTTCTCTATATAAAGAGAGTTAGTAATTGGCAAATGGCCACTCCAAACAAAATTTAGACACTAGGGCAGGAGGATGGTTCAGTGGGTAAAGGTGCTTGCTAGCAAGCTTGATGCCGAGTTTGATGCATGACCCACATCTGAGATGGCAAGGATTATTGGAAGTTGTCCACTGACCTCCAAATATGTGCTACATGTGCATATTAAAACACATACAATAAATAAAAGTAACTTAAAGATCCAGCAGTGAACAAATACAGGGAAAATAGTGTTAATTCCACTAGCATCAGTAATTCCATTCTAAGAAATTATAACAAAAAATTAACTAGTCAGAAACATGCTGTATTCATGAACATGCAAGTAGATAACATGAGATTGTAAACAAGTTATCTTTTCCATATATTTCCTGCCATAAAATAGAATAATACGTGATCTATAGAATCATGATATCTTATAGAATAGACCTATTTGTTTGAGACAAGATCTCACATGTATCCCAGGCTGACTTCTCTTGGTCCTTCCTGACTCAAGTCTCCTAAGTGGCAAGATTACAAGTGTCTAGATACTTTCTCTAAGTAAACTAATACTATTTAAAATAAAAACAAATACGAGATCAGGAATGCAGTTTTTATATAGACTGCCAAACTTGTCAAGCTCTGGGTTTGATCCTCTCTGCCACACAAAATCAGGTGTTGTGGTGCTTGCCTGTAATTCCAGCATAAGGGAACCTAAGGGAGGCGTGCCATGAGTTCAAGGCCAGCATGGGCTACACAGTGAACACCAAGTCAGCTAAGGTTACACAGCAAGATGTTCTCTCAAAAAACAGTTAGGGATAGGGGTGAGGAATGGAGTGAGAAAGATTCTTTTCCTTTGATGCAATAACTGTTTCAATCAAATTATTATGATTTGTTTTATCAGATTGGGTCTTTGCATATTGCTCAGACTTGCCTTTAACTCAGTCTTAGTGATCCTCCCGTCTCAGAGTAGCTGGGACTAATGCACACCACTCGTGGAAATCAAACAATGTTTGCTCTTGCTGAGACAGGGTCTCGCATAGCCCAGGGTGGCCTTAAATTCAATGTGTAGCAGAGGATAGTCTCTTCTCTACATGGCAAGAGCTGGAATTACAGGCATATGTTACCATTACTAGTTCTAGTAGTAAAGAATTTATTTGTTTTAAATACAAAGTATGAACCTGAAGTGTGTGGTACACAACTGCAATATCACCACCTGAGAAGAAAAAGTACAGACAGCCAGCATGGACTATAGAAAAAGTAAAATCATGAGATGTGGAGAGATGTCTCAGTGAGTGAGATTACAGAACCTACATCAAGTGGATCAAGGCCACCTATAACTTTAGCTCAAGGAAGCTGACACCCTTTTCATGGTGTCCCAAAGGGTACTACTCACCCGCACAAACCCAATACAGATACACAAATAAAATTAAATCTTTAGATATCCAAAAGTGAACTATTAAAAGAATCCAAAGTTTATTTTCCAAATATACTCACTTGCCACAAATTCGCTTCCTCTTTATTTGAAGGTGCCTGTGCTGTAATCAGCTAGCCTGGTCTGTCCCGAGTACCCTGTCCCTTTAATACAAGCCCCGCATACTCGCAACCCTACCTCCTACCTCCAGCCTGCTGTCTTTCTGTTCCTCTTCAGAAGAAGTAACTACAGCTTCTGCCTCTCTCTCCTCTCCCCCTTTCTCCCTTTCCTGCCCTTCTCCTTGTCCCTCCTCACCTACAAACCACTAAATAAACTCTATATCCCAGCTCTCTATGCATGGCAGATCTATCTGTCAGAAGGTGGCATTCAATGTCCTACAAGTAGTTACAGGTGGTTATCAGCTGCCTGTAATGGGTTCTAGGAACTCAACATGGGTTCTCTGGAGCCTAATTCCACCTAGACTAAAGGTCAAAGAGTTGGAACTTACCAAGATTATTGTGTTTCTACCTCAAACAAAGGTCCCACCTAGATTTAGATCAGAGAGTTCTTCTCTCTCAAGATTATTGTCAACAGGTGTAGCTAATATACAGACCTTGTATTTCAGGAATAGAAAAGTAGGCAAGTTTCTACCTCAAACAAAAGTCTAAGAGTCCAACTAAGATTCCAGTTCCCTCAAAGAGATAATATTGGATTCCATCCAGGGAGTGGTTGGTTTGCCTACAGAAATTTTTGGTATGGGGCATGAGCGTGACTTGTTTTGTTCTTGCAACAGAATGTTTAACTGGATGTAGCCCACTTCAACTGGTCTTCAACTCAATTCTTCATATCGAGTTAAGGTAGTTTCTTTTTTTTTTTAAATCTTACTTCTATCTCTTGTGGTCAGGGTATTTTAAGCAATTGGAAATTAAACACAGGTGATTTCAGTATTCACTGGCACTCCCTCCCGGAACTTTTCATGTTTTCTGCTTTATTATTTTCACATCTTTGTGCTCTTTATATTTTTAATCCCCAAGTCCCTACCCTGGCAAGTGGTATTTTTGTCCTGGTCCCCGACAAGGTTCTCTGCAGGAGCAGCATATGCTCCAAGCATATACTGAGTAGTATTGTCTATCTTTTAATTCTGAACACCCAGGAGGCAGATACAGGTGAAGTCTGAGGAAAGCTTGGTGTATACATAGTGAGTACAAGGCCAGACAGTGTCCTGGAGAGAGACCAATCTCAAAAAGAGAAGGAAAAAAAAAAAAAAAAGAACAGTGTATGTTGTGTAACTGCAGAACAGAACTATCTAGCTCCCTTGCATTTTACATACATTTTTTTTATTATGTGTCTGTGTGTGTGCATACAAACGCCATGACACATGTGTGGAAGAGTCAGTTCTCTACCATGTGGATTCTGGAGATCAAATTCCAACATTACAGCTGTTGGCAAGCATCTTTACGTGCTCAGCCAAACATTGACCTACTTTTTAGCCATTCCTCCTACAAAATAGGAGGACTATTTGATGACATCATTATTTCCTCATGACTCAGTTCTTTCTCTTTACCTTTTCCCATGTTAATTTTACTTTCATTCCTAGGTTTCAACCACTATTACAATGACTAGTGTAGTTTTAACATTTTTAATTAATTTCAGGATGGATAATTTTCTGCCTCTCTCAATTTTTTCTTTTTCCTCCTCCTTTTTGGTTGTCTTCTCAAACAGGGTTTATGTAACCCTGGTTAGCCTGGAACTCATTATATAGACCAGGTTAACCCCCAAATCACAGAGATCTACATGCCTCTGCTTCCCTGGTACTGGGATTAAAACTATACATTTTACAATTCTACACTGTAAGTTATTCGTGGTGGGTGGCCTGATCACAACATGCAGGAGGCTGACAAGTTCACGACCAGACTGGTTTATATAGCAAGTTCCACATTCTGGGCCAGTCTTAGACATATAGTGAGACCCACCCTCAAGAAACCGAAATAGCCAGGCAGTGATGTCATATGCCTATAATCCCAGCACTGAGGAGGCATTGTGAGTTCCAAAACAACAGCTAGCGCTCGCTCTCTCTCTCTCTCTCTCTCTCTCTCTCTCTCTCTCACACACACACACACACAGGCACACACACATGCGTGTACGCTGTCCTACACAATTATAGTACTAACCTATCTAAATAATTTTCGACTGCTTTCCCCTTTTTTCTGTCTGCTATTATTCCCTAAGACAATTACCAATATTTGCCAGCATATAATACAAAAGACAAGTTAAGTGTGGCAAATTATGTTTTAAGTATTATTTAATATGAATGATATTTACATATATATAAACCTCTCCATTATTTAAATATTGCTATAATTTTTATAGATTTGGAAACTGAAGCTCAGAGTACCTAAGTAACCCACAAACTCAAGATCCGTGACCTGGATTATATCCTCTGAAGTCTTTACTTGGTTAATCTCTATAATTTATACTTCCTTTTACCACTCATCAGATGTACAGCTTATTCTTGGAGCCCTCTATAATAACACACCCACTCACAGAGTTTGGGTTATATAACTTATTCTTCATTGGGTACACAATGTACTTTACACATAGCTTTTATTATTTTTAAAGCTAACCTACAAAAACTATCAAAACCTAACACTAAGTTTTTTTATTTGTAATCTACTATTCTGAAGATTTGGCTAAACATAAGGAAGATGTCCTTTTATTTTTGGATATAGTTTAGTCCAGATCTAACTACGTCTATCTGGTTAGCCATAAACTAAGAGAGATCCATTTCCTCTGCTTTTTAAATGCTCAGATTAAAGGCGATCACTGGAATTCTTACAAAATTACTCTGTTAGAAATCTTAACAAGGATGTTCTTCTCTGAATCAAATACCTGATGGCAAAATAAATTTCTGAGTTTTCAGAAGGCTTCTTAACACTGGGACTCAAACAACAGTAACCTGCTGACATAAAGAACCCCTGTGAGATTCCCTGATGTCACTGCACATCCCTATCAAAGTTAATGCACAGTCAGGAGTTCCTATTCCTACTACATTGTATCTTTAATCTGACCCACTAAAACGTGATGCTACAGTGCCAGGGGTGACTTGATAAATACTGACATGTACTCAGTATTGGAAAGATCCTGAATTCATTCTCCAGCACACAGGTATGTACTCCTGAGTTTGTACCCCACCCCAACACATACACAGCAAGCTGCAAAAAAGGCAGGGCAGGTGAGAAGTAAATGGTACAGATCAAAAGATACTTACTGACAAGAAATATATCTACATTTTTTAAATTAACTATGGACAAAAATTTTATTATCCAAACTTTTGTTCCTTTGTTTTCTTTTTTTGCCAAGAGGAAAGTCAATCAGGAAGTCTTAATTTAATCACAGTAAAAATGATGTTCTGGGCTGAATTGTTCCTCTCTAACTCACAGATTTTAGCGACCAGTATCTCACAATGTGACTATATTAGAGATACAGCATTAAAGAGTAATTATATAAAAAATTATATGGATGAGGTTAACCTAGGATGACCACTATTTTTAAAAAATAAGAAAAGTAGGACACTGATTTATTTTGGATACACAGAGAAAAGACCATTTGAAAACACAATGAGAAACTGGTAGCTATCTTGAGAAGAAGGAAAAGAACTTTTTTTTTTTTCTTTTTTGGTTTTTCGAGACAGGGTTTCTCTGTAGCTTTATAAAGAGGCTGTCCTGGAACTAGCTCTTGTAGACCAGGCTGGCCTTGAACTCACAGAGATCCATCTACCTCTGCCTCCCGAGTGCTGGGATTAAAGGCATGCACCACCACTGCCCGACGGAAAAGGACTTAAAAAAAAATAAATGTTCTACTGTACACTTGTCACATTCTGAGGTATCTTGCTAGCCAATGGTATTTTGTTATGGTAACCCTTGAAAACCAGTATAACATGCCTTCCCATAGAACCCACAGTAGTGATCACACAGATGAAATAACTGAGTACCAAGATTAGGTCTCCAGATCCAGATATCTGGATTAAGAACCAATGAGTGCTACAAAGTATACCAACATGAGTAACAATTATCACTACAAGACAGAATCATTCATACAAATTTACAATAAAACTCTTAGAAATAAAATGTGTGGATTGTTTTTTTAAAAAAAAGTTCTGATTTTCATTATGCCATTCACATACATCAAGTACAGTGATAAAACAAGACATAACATAAAATAACATGAACACTGAAATGCTTAAGCAAACTTAGCTGTTAGCAGATAATCACACAGAACTAACATTTTCTTTATGTAGTCTATATGTATTCTAGGATTTTGAAAATTAGTACACACAGAATAAATCTAATAGTAAGAACTTATAAAAAAGTAAAAGGCATTAAATATAGCTTAATAGTCATCCGTTACATTAAAGTAATAGATCTCTGTGGGTCCAGCACTTAAGCTCACAAACATGCTCTTGGGATGAGTGTATTTATTCTGCACAAATCTCCTGGCTTACCTTATGGCTTCTGAATCAATATGCACAGGAGCAATTCTTTCCAACAGAAATTTGACCATCTCTAGAAAAGGGTTGGTTGGCTGCTTAGGATTTGCAAGTTTCCGAGCTATTTCTCTCTATAAAAGAAAAGTTTTACTCTAAGTTTCATCATTCTATGATTTTTCACAAGAATAACTATAGGGAGAGAAGCACTGAAAAATTCAAAACCAGGAAGAAATGAAAACAAAAATATACATAGTAAGTAATCACTAAAAAATCCAGACAGTGAAAAAAACAAGAAAGGATTGAAATGGTTTTAAATGACTTGATTTTGGTTTGTACTTCCGCTATACAATTTCTATTTACTGTAACAACATAAATGCTCTATTTAAAAAAATTTCATTCAGTCATAAATGGTTTATTTCATGATTAAATAGAATATTGGGCTTTCTTTCAGTTAATTTCCTAATTACATTTTAATATTATGTGTCTATGTATGTATGTGAGTGAACGTCTGTGCACATTGAATGTAGTGCCAACAGAAGTCAGAGGACAGTATCAGAACTATTTCTCTAAAAGGTTACAGGACCTAGAGTTACAGGAAGTTGTGGGTTGCTCTATGTGAGTTCTAGAAAATGAACTTTATAGTCTTCTGCAAGAGCAGTATGAGCTTGTAACTACTATCAATCCAGGCCTAATTTATTTTTTGAAAAAGGAAAGGGCAGCAAGGTGACTGAGGATAAAGGGGCTTGCTGGGGAGCAGGAAAGCTGAGTTTGATCCCTAGGACCCATACAGTGGAGAGAAAACTGTCCCCTTTGACCTACTTATCCCCTTGCACCCACAGAAAATTAATAAAAACTTTAAAATGAGAGGGGGTTATGCAGCATAAATATAATGGAATATACATAAATTTGGGGTAGTAGAGACCCTTCAGAAGCACCAAGCCCAGGAACTTCAGAACAGCCTAGGCCAGGGAGACCTAGCATAAAAAAGCAAACCAAAAAATCAGAGAGAGAGGTGCTATGTTTAAAAGTCTGGCAATATTTTTAAATTCTGAAAAAACAGAAGGAAGAGATAAATAGAAGTATGAAGTTTTCCAGAATTTTAATAATGTGAACACAGCATTATTTCACACTATTCTGAATTCATGAATCAAAGTAATTGTCTCTATTTTTCAAAGGTGGCAGTAATATTAACTATCTCTGACAAGAACGGGCTCTTACCTTATTATGTCTAGGTCTTTCAGGTGATTTAACAGTGTTAATACACATCCAACCAGGTCTAAACTCAATTTCATATCACAAGTCACAGACAACATGTCATCTCCCATTTTTTAATTTAAATTTTATTTTATTATTAGAAGCATGTGTGTTTTATGTGGGTGCATGCATTCTATAAGTTGCATATAGAAGATAGAGGACTACCTTCAGCAGTCAGTTCTTCCCCTTCATTATAGGTTTTAGAAATGAATTCAGGTGGGAGCTTGCCACCGAACAATAGATCTACTATTTTTAAAAAGAACAGTTCACTCCCCAAAACTAGAAAAGTGATCTAGACATAGTGATCTAGTTCCTACATGTCCTTTAAGATTCAACCCAGGAGCCACTTATTCCAGATTAAGTTATTCTCTGACCTGTTTCTACCCCTTCCAGGGTTCTGTCTGTGATGTTCTTCCATATATAATTCTATTGCAACACTTACCATGTTGTGTTTGCTATCAAAATATTGACCTATTTCTGTCACTTAAACTACAAGTTATCATGTATAATACAAATTACTAAAAGTAACAATAAATTAAGACAGTGTAAACATGATCAAGGGAAAAGTAAATTTAGATTTCTGAAGATCCAATGTATATTTGGACAGCCCTATACAGAAATCTTTTGTTGTTGCTTTGTTGAAAAAGGGTTTTAAGAGACTAGCCTCTAATTATTCATTCTGTCTTGGCCTCCCCAATGCTGGAGTTATAAGCATGAACCACCTTCACGCTTATTTTTTGCTCTCTAATACAAATTAGACGCCGAGTACAGCCCTCTAATAACTCTTCTCTATTGTCTCTACAACGTTACACAGTACAATGTTCACCCTGCTAACCCCCGCAGCTTACAGGGTCTTGTGTGTCTACTTTACATATAAAAACAGGGGTGATTGCTAATAGCAAAGTGAGAAGAGCAGGAACCATTAGCAGGCTCTTAAAATTACATATCTCTATATATCTATATCTGTGTGTGTGTGTATGCATGCCACCAAGGGCTTGTCGGAGTAAGAGGCTAACTTGAAGGATTCTATTGTCTCCTTCCACCACATAGGTAAAGGATCAATCTTCAATCATCTAGCTTTACATGAAGTACCTTTATGCACCAAGCTATCTGACTAGCTCTGTTTTATTCTTTTATTAAAAACAAACACAATCAGGATCTCACTATGGATTGCAGAGTGGTCATGAACTCATGGTGATTTTCTTGCCCTCACCTCCTAAAGGCTAGGATTACAGATAAGTACTATCAGACCTATCTATCAAGCTATTTTTTAGACAAATTTATCTCCACCTTCCTGATTCTTAAAACCAGAAGCAGTGACTGCACGCACTGCCTGCTCACTACATTCGTTCCTGGATATTTTAATTACAGACTTCTGTAATTTATTTACATTTATTTATTCATATATCTATTGTGTGTGTTTGTGTGCACACGTGCATGTATGAGTGTATGAATGCATACATATATAGGGTTCAAAAGACAAGTTGGGACTCAGTTTTCTTGCCCACCATTAGGGTTTCAGGAATTGAACTTAGGTTCTAAGGTTTGGGGGCAAGAATTTTTATCAGCTGAGTCCTGAAGTCAGCCCCATAAATATGTATTTTTGAAGCCTATTATATATTTCTGGGGTAACAACCAAGGGACTCATGCTATTGCTCTTATTATCAAATTCAAGTTAAAGCCCTATTTTCTCAAATCAAAGTATCCCTTGATTACATTTTCATCATCATCATCATTCATTTTTTTTGGTGGGTGTGGTATTTGGTTTGCTTTGTATTATGTGTGTGTGCTGTGCATGTGTACACCTATGACTAAAACAGTGAGCCCTCAGGGAAGATCTGTCTTTGCCTCTACAAATCTAAAGATGAGTGAGGTGCCACGCATCACCTTTTACATGGGACCTGGGCACCTCATGATCATAAGCCCCTGCACTGGTTCTTACAAAAAAAAATGACACTATCACACATTTATAAAATACAGGCTCTACCTGTAATTTAGTCACTATATCCTGCTATGAAATGAAACATGAAAAATGTTCTTTAATGTTTCATTGTCCTTATAGGTAACTTTAAACCATATGCTCTCGTGGGTAATTAAGTCATTTCATTGTATCAATCCAATTATATGAGAAGATTCTTTGAGACCTACGATACTACTAAATTCTAAGTACATGTAATCTTTAAAGCAGAAAATTATTCAGGTAAGTGCAAAGGTGGAATTATCAGGACACTTGGTCCATGAATACACCTGGGCAAAGAAGAGCTCTCTTGTCGAATGGACCTTACAGCACATCTTACATACTGATCAGTTCCCCACAAAGAATAAAAACTGTTTTAGACTCCTTGACCACTTCGTAAGAACATTTATTATAATCTTTAATCCCTCATTACATATTTAAATAATTATCAACTTTAATCCTTTTCAGAACAAAGGTAAAAATAAGTAACCAAAATGCTAATCTTTTCTTCATGTTTAAGCCTTGTCTTTGCATAATGTATACCATCCGCATAGCACCATTAAGTGCTGAAGACACAAACTTTTCTTCTCTAAGTTTCTATCCTAGTTTCCTAGAAAATAAGGAGTGCAAGAAGAGATAAATCTACAAAAGAATTTATTTCTTCTACAAATCAAAATCTGTATGATGACATGATTATAACTAAATTATTGGCAGGCTTTTTCTATTTTTCAGAGAAAAATAGAAGGAAGTGCATGCATACAAAACATTATGAAAATTCTTTTCCGTTTCTTAAGTGAAGGAACACATATTAAATAAAAAGTCTTGGTCATTCCCTAAGACCAGTATATCTGGCTGAGATCTTTGGGAAAGGAGAATTTAGTTGAATTTGGATATATTACTAAGTAATTTAGCATCTACCATATGGTTAAAAGAAACACAAAAAATATATGTAATGAAATACAGATTTCTCCAAATTATTAGAAAAAAATTATAAAAGCATAATTCACTAACCACACAAATGTCAGCTTGTTTGCATGAACAGGTTGGGCTGATTAACAATTCTAACTGAGACCGCAGCTTCTCATCATCACCAAGAACCTGGTTAAATTTCTTTACAAAATCTTGTGCTTTGCCAGGGTCAGGTAAATTCTCTATAAAATGAAGAGAATAAATATTAGAAAAGAAAGATAACTACACTAAAAGTATCTTTAAGACATTGGTGAGGGGCTAGCGAGAAGATTTAGCAGGTAAGAGGTTCACTGTAGGGGAAGGGACTAGAGAGATAGCTCAGCAGTTAAGAACAATGAGGCTCCTGGGTTCATTTCCCCCACCAACATTGCAGCTCACAATTGTGTGTAACTCCAGTTGCATGGGATCTGACATCCTCACACAGACATACTTGCAAGCAAAACAATAATGCACATAAAATAAACAAAAATAAGTTATTAGAAAAAAGTGTTTACTGCTCTTGCAAAGGACCCAGTACCCACATCAGGTAGTTGACAACTGCTTTTAACACCAGAGGATCTGTTATCTCTGGACTCCTCAGGTACATAACTCAAACTCATACTTACACATATTTAAAAATAAAAACAAAATATTATAAATAAATAAATATTGGTGACCCAGTAAGACAGTGAGACAAAGGGCTTTTATAAACGAAATTAAGGAATATCTTTTACCATTTATTCATAAATGAATAACCTGTCTTAAGTGGCTGGAGAGGTGGCTCAACAGATAAGACTACTTGTTGCTCTTGGAAAGGAGCCAGTTTCAATTCTTAGCGCCTCATGTTGGCTCACAAGCATATCTATAAGTCCAGCTCCAGGGAACTGAACAGGGACATATATGATGCACATATATGCAAGCAAGAAAAACATTCATATATGAAATATATATGAAAAAGCCTGTTTGATATTTATTTCATGCTCACCGGGTAATAAAACATACTTACTTGCTATGGTCATCAGTTTTCCAAACATGGCAGAACAGTTAGCCTCTGACTAAAATTTAAAACAAAAATGAAAGAACTAGTCATTTGTATTAACAATTTTTTGGAAAAAAAATTAATACACTGAACAATGTTCATCATCTTTAAATAACTCATCATAATCTAACTAGGGCTATCCTTACTTGTCGCCGTGCGTGTGTGTATGTGTATGAGAGAAAGAGTTTTTAGCAAAGAATAGTAGAAAAAGAACATATTAAGAAGAAAAAAAGAAAAAAGATATTATCAGGAAAATTGAGAAGACTGAATAGCCAGCTGTGGTAGCATGTACTTGTCATTTCATATACGAAGATAGGAGTATTGCTTGAGCCCAGGAATCAGCCTTGGCAACATAACCAGCAGGCCTATGCTCTTGCTGCAACACATTCCTGGTTAGGTGGACTGGGCCCTAATTGGGAGTCAAAACAAATACTTCCTTCCTTAAGTTGCTTTTGAACTTGTCGGGTGTTCTGACACCAAAATAGGAAAAGGAACTAATGTATGACTAATATCCCAGCTACCAAATGTTGAGAACGGAAGACTGTTGGGAATTTGACGGGCAACACAGTGATTTCTAGACTAGCTTGAGCTAAAATATTGAAAACAAGAAAGAAACAAACAAAAAAACATGTAAAAAAAGAAACAAACTAAGAATGTAATTTAGCTTTGAAAACAGCTGAACCAACATTTGGAAATTAAAACACCTTGAAATACCTTCATTACACCATATTACTGAACAAAATAGTGACTTGCAATATGTAATTTAAAACAAAAATCATAAACCTACTGTAGGCTGCTTGTGTAAATCCAGCAGTTCACGCACATGACTCCGAAGCATGTTCTGACACTTCCACATTTCATTGAGAGCTCTGTATATAGTTATAAACATAAAAAGATACATTTAACAATACTGCAAACTGTTCAACTTTATGACTTCTTAAGTGTGCTATTTCTATATTCCTACATAAAAATTTTAAGCAACAGTTTATTAGAATTTAAACAAGTTTAAATTTAGCAGGCATTTCGCCACCGAGTGAATGCCCCGGTTCAAAGAATCAATTTGATCTTGCCAAGGTCATAAATGGACTGAAAGAGCTTTAATTCTAAGCAGAGGGAGCTGGAGAATTCTGGTCTAATGAAAAAAACAGAAAAATGAAAGGTGTTAAAGAGTACAAGTGGAGGCATACAGAAACTGGAGTAGAGATGAATAAACGACACAGGATTATTGAGTGCCAGAAAAACAGACCTAGGAGAGATGAAGACTGCTCAAGAGTCACCTGAAAGCCTCCTCCCTGAGGACTAGCTTTCACAGTCCCACAAAGTGCCACACAAGCAGTCCGGGGAAGGAAGCAAACCAATAGTCCTACCCAGCTGTGACACCTATGAACCACAGCTAGCATAACACAATAGCCCCGAGGATGCAATAGTTGCACTCATATCTTTTTAGTAACCAACTAGAATCACTATCCTTAAACAAAGAGACAAATATTGTACTAGAGAACCTAGCCAGGTTTGAGGTCATGAATCTTATGACGAACAAATCACACCACCACTGGTATAATTCCTAACTGCATTCTAAGTATTTATCTCAAAGGTAAATGTCGCTCCATCCCTCATCAAAGAAGCTTCCCTTCACAAAAGATGGAGACCATTACAATAAATAACAACCAATCAAAACGCAAAAAATAAGTGACTCTGTTGTGATTAGCCCAAATTCACTCATCTACAACAGGACCATGGTAACTAGAACTTAGGGAACATTACAGACAAAAGAGCAAAAATATTTTTGGGAGCCAGAGGACCAGGAAATCTAGGGAGATTGTACCTCTTAGGATGGACAGGGAAGCTTTACTAACAATAGCTCAACAGGCTGCCTAAACAAGACCTGAACAAGGGTACCACCAATAGACATGCTAACATGGAGGAAGAAATCTCATGGGGCCTACCCTCGACAAAGAACCATAATGAACTGAAGAAATTCTAGAGGTGACAAATCGTCTTCCCTAGGGACGACCCCTCATTAGTTATCTCGTACAAGTGATCAGTCCTGAAATCATGCAAATCAAGCTCATCAAACTCAGCAGGCTGTATTTATGTATTTTGGCACGTGTTAACAGCCCCCAATATGAAGCAAAGAAAAAGAGAGGTCATGAATTCAAGTGGAAGTAAGGAGGGTGGGATACTTAAATGGATGGAAGGAGGAAAGGGAAAGAGGAAATAATGTAATCATAATTAAAAAATTAAATGCTAGACTAGAAATGTTCAGTAGGAAATATTTGCTATACATAAATAAAGACCTTTCTTCATATCCCAGTATGCATGGAAAGCATTAGTCCATGTTAATAATCCCCGTGTACCTATGATTACACTGGAGGCAGAGAGAAAAATGCTTGGAAGCTTGAGGGCTAGCAAACCTAGTACAGACTAGGCGAACAAAATGTCCTGTCTCAAACAAGGTGGAAGACAGGGACTGACACCTGACAAGGTCTGTTGATGTCTACATACCTGCTGCTGCACATGCACACTTGAACACATATGCATACACAATCATATAAAAATTGAAAAATGAATTGAACTGTCACCAGGTATGGTAGAGCATGCCTGTAATCCTAGCACTTAGTAGCCAAAACAAGGAGATCATTGTAGTCTGTATGAGCCTGGGCGACAAGAGACCATGTCAAGACATCAGGAAAAGAAAGAAAAAGATTTCTGACCTCACACAAATCCCCTCTATATTCCAGTTGTCAAGAGCACTTCTAAGAATTATGGTGACTTAACACTCATGTCTAGATATGTAGAAATAAACATAAATGGAGGACTGATGGCAGTGGAATACATGGTCAACAAGCACAGAGCTCTGGGTCCCATCCCTAGAACTATATAAACTGTGTGTTCCAAGTGTCCTATTGTAATGCCAGTGTTACAACCAGAAATTAAAGGTCATCCTCAGCTACATAGCAAGTTAAAGCCTAATCTGGGTTACAAAAGGCCCCGCTGAAAGGGAGAGAAGGAAAAGAAATACAAAAAGTATAAACAAACAGCAAGATTCAGCCACCTGAAAGGAGCCTTAGCTTCCACCAAGAATCTTCCAAAGAGAGATGAATAACACCGACTGAAATGTCTCAGGGTCACAAAATGAGGCTGTGGGATTTCTACCGAAAAAGTATAATCTCAATCCAACAAGAAAAACATTGATTGGAAGATCCCCAACTGAGGCCAAATTGTATAATATAACCAGATACAATATTTATGCAACACTGTTCTAAAAAATGTAAAAACTGTTCTAAAATGTAAAAACTGTTCTAAAAAATGTAATAAGAAATCACAGATGGTGGAAAACTTATCCATAGGTAACACATAGACAATTTAAAAAATTTAAATACAGTAAATTGTTGTATAATATTGAATTAAAATTTTTTCAGATCAATCTTATTTATATGTCTATGTAAACATATGCCATGTGTGAGTGGGTGCCCTCAAAGGCCAGGAGTTACAGGCAGTTGTGGACAGCCAGATGTGAGTGCTGAGAACTGAACTCAGGACTTCTGAAGAGCAACAACTATTTTTAAACGCTGAGCATCTCTCCAGCCCAAATTTTAAAATTTTAAGTCATATAAAGGTTATGTAGGTAAGAGGTCTTTCTTCATATATAAACAACTGAAATATTTTGAATAAAGAGTGCTACATATCTGTAAATGTCTCTCCAATCATTAAGAAAAATAATGTGTTTAGCTAGAATAGACAAACGACACATGGTCAGATACGATCCTACTATTTGCTCTGCTATTCCTGAAACTTTCTTCTGAGTTTAAAGTTGCAGTGTTTTATGCATTCTCTGTGCTTGATGTTTAACCAAGGCCTTAGGCATGCCAGAATTCCAGGCAAGATCTCTACCAATGAGTTATCCCTTGCCCACTCATGCGTTTTTTGTTTTGTTTTGTTTTAAGTTTTTTTGAGACAGGGTCTCTTTACAGAACTGTGGCTGTTCTGGAACTTCATAGAGATTCACCTGCCTCTGCCTCCTGAGCAAGGGGACTAAAATTGTGCGCCATCATGAATGGCACCCGAATCCACTTATATGTGTGTGTTTCTTTTCAGTCAAGATGGAGTATCTTGGTTAGAATTAAACTCACTCTGTAGCAAGGCTGGTAGTTTAAATACCCATACACACCAATCTGGACACAATTGATTGAATACTTGAAACCCTATTACTGACATCATTATCAAAAGTGTGCATGAACACTCAAACACACACAGACAGTCATTCATATTAAAAAAAAGAAAAACAAAACAAAACAAAAAACTCATGTAGGAAGCATATGAGCCATTGAAAAGTAACTTACTTCACAGCATTTGGATCCAAGCTGGCATATAAATAATATAAGCATTTCATTCTCTCTTCGGTTTCCAGGTTATGGGGAACAAGATATTGGGCAAATATTTTCTCTACCAAGAGTCTATGGAAATCAAACACACAAAAACAATTATGCTATTTAAGGTGATAAGTGAATTTAACCATTCTGTTAAACCAATCTATGTGCACAAAAATAATGAAAAGCTTCAGTACACAGTCACTCCTTCCTTCACAGTCTCAGTAGTGACTTTGTATCCAGTTTATAATTGAAGCTAATTTCACAATCTGTCACAAAACATTTCTTCAAGAATGCTTGAATGTTACTCCAAGGTGAGAGTCTCACACTGTAACACAGGCTGGCCTTCAACTCAGGGAGCTCCTCCTACGTCAGCCTTTCCTAGCGCTGGGATGATGAGCACTGGTCCTGCTTATTCTCTTTCTGACAGTTCTCGGGGAGGGGGATAGATCATCATTACTTCCTGAAAATATGCATATCCAACTCTTCTTATCTCCAGTCTAAATTCATTATTAGACCTCCTTAGTTTTAAAACTGAAGAGCATATAAATAAAAATGACAAGAGACAGAATGTAGATTTTAGTCTCTATCCTGCCTTACTCCTAAGTCCAGACATTTTTTTTACTACTGTTACACTATTTAGGTTATTAGGAAGAATCATATTTAAGTACCATGATGTACAAATATACAGAAAATTATTTCTATATTTAGTAATAAATTACATAAAAATTATATAGAAATATTTAAAAATGAAAAGCAGTTTTACCAAACTATTAGACTCACTTGTCGTCGATGCTGTTCTGATAGTAGATGTGCAGAAGTTTGTCCTTTATCCAGCTGACTTTCTCTGCAGCTTCCTTTCCTGCCTCACCATGAAGACAGTATTTCTTATAAAGTTGAGCAAGACCCATCATGGCTTCTTTTCTTACTCGCCACTAGAAAAACAGCACTTATGAGATGAGCAAGCCACTAGGCTATGTAGTAAATATTATGTCATCCACAGCAACACAGTGCATCTTCTCATAAGCAGCTCTGCCAAATTGTTTTACTAATCATTTTTACAACTATTGCTGGTAAGATACCAGTTCCTTCATTAATTTTCCACAGTAATATTGCTACATGATCTATCAATTTTTTGAGTTTGCCTCCAACTAAACAAAGTACAGATTTCATTGAATTCAATTCTTTAAATATGTAATGATGCAAATAAAGGAAAAATGAAAATTGCAAATTATATTAATCTATTATGTACACAAAAGGCTTCAATGTCCTAGGTTTTTGTTTTGTTTTATTTTTTTGAGACAGGGTTTCTCTGTGGCTTTGGAGCCTCTCCTGAAACTCACTCTATTGACCAGGCTGGTCTTGAAACTCAGAGATCCGACTGCCTGTCTCCCAAGTGCTGGGATTAAGGGCGTGTGCCACCCCACTCCGATTTCTGTTTTAGTTCTTAATTATATATTTCTGAGCTTAACTGTAAATAACAACAAAGTTCAGAATCAAGAATTCTGAAAAAACACAGTTGGTGAGAATATTTTTGTTTATCTTTGATGAACTTCCTTACTTTGCAGACTTCAGCAAATGGCAGTGGTTCAGCAATTTGGGGCACTTGCTATCAAGCATGGTAACCATTTCAATCCTGGGACCTCCATGGAATCCTCAGACTGCACGCACACGTGCACACACACACACCAACACACCAATAATAATAATAAATAAAAATCATTTTATTGGGTTTTAAAATATTTGTTTATTTATTATATACACAATATTCTGTCTGTGTGTATGTCTGCAGGTCAGAAGAGGGCAGCAGACCTCATTAGAGATGGTTGTGAGCCACCATGTGGTTGCCGGGAATTGAACTTATTAGAGACCTTTGGAAGAGCAGGCAATGCTCTTAACCACTGAGCCATCTCTCCAGCCCCCAATAAAAATCTTTTAAAATAAAAGTTTGGGGCCTGGGAATGTAGCTCAGTAGAAGAGTGCCCACTAAACATTCCCAGAATCCCAGATTTGATTTCCATCATTGCAAACATGGAGTCCCAAACTCCAAATGTGTAGAGAAAATAAAACTAGAAATTCTAGGTCAACGTTAGCTGGATAGTCAGCCTGGGCTTTAAGAGAGCCTGTTTTTACTTACTATTTATTAACATATATGAGTATGTATGCATGCACACTAGAAGAGGTTATACTACAGTTATAGACACTTGGGAGCTGCCATATGAGTGCCGGGAATTGAACTTAGAAGCTCAGGAAGAGCAACCAATGCTCTTTATAACTGAGCCCATGTCTCCAGCCCCAAGACTTTGTCTTTAAAAGAAAAAGGGGAAAAGGCCAGGAAAGATAGTGAACACCTTTAATTCCTATACTCAGGAGCAGAGGTAGACTGATGTCTGTAGGTCTGAAGACATCCTGGTCTATAGAGAGTTCCAGGACAGCCAGAGGTACAAGGAAAAAGACGGGAAATACAAGGGGGAAAGAATCCTTGTTTTTTACAAGGGGAGAGAAAACATTCCAGCTAATTTTAAAATCAGTATTTTCTCTTAAGCTTTTGAATAATTTTTTTAGTCTACTGAATGCGTGGAATGAAACTCAGTAATGTGAGCAGTGAAATCTAACATTTATTCCTGTTTCACCATCTTCCGTAATGGATGTCAAACTAACTGAAGAGACCAAAATCATGAACTAAAAATGTGTCATATATGATAGAGCGGATCATGTAGTCAGGAAGAATAATTTATTTACCTAAGTGAAAATATGAGATAAACATTAATAAGAGCAGTATTTTTTACTAAGGAAGAAATATCACACTAACCACCTATGCCCTAGATGGGTAATTGCAAGTCAAGGGGAAGAGGAGATTCGGTAATATGAACTCATTACTTGAAAATTTAGTGTCAAAACCAACCCTTAAAAGTTTTAATTACTGACATGGTTAAACAAATTAGTGTCCTTTTCTTTTTCAACATCTGTCACATGACTATTTTAAAACTAAGAAGAGAAAGACAACCTCTGGTAGCGTGTCAAAACATACTGGTATATCCTGAAAACACCTAAACTACGCATTCCTAGAAAACAATAGGTTTTCAAAAATGTCAACTGAACCAGTACACTCTAATTGTACTGCAATTGCTGCTAAAAACACGTATGGTTCTTTCTCTTTTTCCTTCTTTTTTTAAAATTTTGGGTTTTTTAGACAGGGTCTCTCTGTGTAGTCCTGGCAATCCTGGAAATCACTTTGTAGACCAGGATGGCCTTGAATTTAGAGACGCCCCTGCCTCTGCCTCCAAATTAAAGGCAAACGCCACACAGTTAAGTCTGGTTCTTTCTTAAGATGGACTCAACTCTTCTTTAGTAACTACTGTCATTGTTCAAAACATCACCTTTCCTATCAGGCCATGTTTCTAATTGCATTCAATGACAGAAACAGCAAAATAAAGTAATTTACAGAACCATTTCTGCTTTTAGCTCAGCAGGCATTGTGCAAACACTATTTTTTCTTAGGAAGTAAGAGATTCTTTTAACTGAATTGATTGGTAGATTCAGCTTAGCTAAGCAAAATATAAGTAAATATACATAACCAATGACTTGGCCTTTGCAAACTGAAACGTGTAGAAAATCAAATTATTTCATTTACCTATTTCTACTTTATATAGAAATTCTATAAGCAAAATCCATACCCTTGAGGCTGAAAAGATGGCTCAGCAGTTAAAAGCACTGGCTGCTCTCCAGAGAACCAAGGTACAATTCCCAGAATCGAAATGGCGGCTCACAACTGTCTGTTATTTCAGTATCAGAGGACCCAACACCCTCACATAAATATACATGCAGGCAAAACACCAATGCACATATACTAAAAATAAATTGTTTTTAAAAAATCCATCCCCATAATAGAAAAAAAGATTCAGAACCCACATACTTATTTATAGAGATAAGCAAAGACTACGCATACAGAGGAAGGAGGATCTCTGCAAGTCTGCGTCAGCATGTTCTACACAGTAAGTTCCAGGAGAGCAGTGAGACCCTGTCTACAAAAGTAGTATGTGCAGTTGAAACATAAAAACTAATAGTTCTACAGATTTAGTGCTATTCTGATATTCAAAGAAGTGCTGAACTGGTATTATTGCTCCAGCATACAGAGCAAACAATCTGAACATGGTAAATGAGGGAAGAGCAAAACTCCCAGATCTTACCCGCTTATCCAGTGTCCTTTCCCTGACAAAGCCAAGTAACTGATCATTTACTAAGGTAAGGTCTCTTTTGGCAGCTGTTATTATAGTAACAATGACATCATGACGAATGGCTTCTTCTGGATCATGTGACCTAACTTTCAAATATTCTATGATTAAAAAGAACAATAAAGATAATGTTAGTTATATAAATTTTCATGATTCAGAATGATAAAAAAGCCCAAAACTTTAAGCTTTGTCTGTATTAATGTTTACAAAATACAGGATAAATTAAAATTTTCTGTAAGACATCACTAAGTAGCCTTTATTACACATAAAACTAGGCTTATTACTTCAGAGTACATTTTAAGAAAAAAATTTTTTTTGGTAGAAAGTCAAATGAGAACACATACATATATTCCATAACATAAAACACAGAACGACCTTTTAAATTTCTAAACAAATTATAATACAAATAAAATCAAAACAAAAAAGCTATTAACTAGGTTTTTAGTAAGTAGCACTATGCTGATAAAAGCTTTACATTTGCTACTGCCAAATAGGTAGGATTAAATACTTTAAATTAAATAATGAAACGTTGCAATCTAAACTAAGAATAACCTCCTTTTTTCTACACACATTAGGGATTTTACTATATTTAATAATGTACATGTGTTCTGTATCTAACTCTAATGTCATAAGGCTTACATTATCTCAACTTATAATTTCTAAAAAAATTCCAAATGATCAATACATAAATGTTTTTTAAAATTTTATCTTATAAAAAGGAAATAACTTCCTAGTCCACAAAGCAGACATGAAACCATCCTAGAATCAAATCCGTAATGGAAACAAAGAGTTAGGTACAGGCCACATCTGAAATGTTTTGTGCTTGATAAGAGTAATAAATCGGGGAGCTTACCCGTGAGATCCTTTGCTAAATCTGGATGGTTCATCAAACAGTGACTGGCAAATTTGACACTTTCTAACCTCACAGGAACATGAATGTCATTAAAGCTAAATAGAAGATTGTTAAATATTAATGAGGCAATTTAATTATTTTCAAATAAATAATATAAAAGTATTTACGAACAACAATGGTTACTTATATGAATATAATATAAATATAGTAATTTTCAAATAAATAATATAAAAATGTTTATGAACAGCAATGGTTACTGATAGCTAATGTATTCTATGGAGAACATAAAGAACTGAGCAAGGTATCCCACACCTTGAATCCCAGCACTCAGGAAGAAGAGGCAGGTGGATCTATGAGTTCAAGGACAGAGCTTGGTCTACAGAGTGAGCATAAGACAGCCAGAGCTACAAAATAGAGACCCTATAGGAAAAAAAAAAAGAGAAGATGCACAATTCTATAGAAAACATTTTTTGCAAACAGTATGTGCTCATCTCGTCGAAACAAAAACTACCATAATTAATATTCTCCAATTCAGACAACAGATTTTGATGACCTTAATTACTAAAGGTTGAAATTTTGCTACAAAATAAAAAATACTCAGCATACATACACATGCTGCACTAAACACACTCAAGCATAAAGTGTTACAATGAAGGTATAAACTGTATTCATAAATACTTTGCTCCACAATGTATTCTAAAAGACAACAAATAACAATTAATGTTTTGGTGTATGTATTCTCAATCACGTGGACTCTGAGAGCATACAAAATTCTAAGTTATCTCTCTTACCGCCCAAGAAAACACTGCCAAAGAGGCCGATTCTGTGTTGCCAAATCTGAATCTTTAGAGCCAAACAATTTAGCTAGAAGTCGAACCACAGCTAATCGTTCTTCACCGTCGTTGCTCTACAAAGAGAAAGACACAATGAAGGGAGCCTGCACTTTACTTCCCAAGTAGAAACCATTTTATATTTCAACTATCATGATGAACAATGTGAACTAGCACAAACTTTTGTTTACTATGAGAAATTTTGTCTGATTCCATGTTATATTGCGTGCTCTCTTGGCCTCTTTCAGATTGCTAATTCATGCCTACTTTTCAACTTATTTACACACTGATTATAGAGATTTTGTACAAATATAAGCATTTTATTAAATCTTTACATTGTCTAAGACTTTAGAAAATTTCACAAAGGACAAAGTGACAAATAATTCCTACTCTAGTGAGCTTCTTTCATAAAGACTCTTTCCGACAATTGAAACGTCAACACGAATACAGAATACTTAAGGTTTTGATATACAGTTTTAACAATGATTCTCCACTGACTAAAAAACATGATAAAGAACAATACTACTAAAGAGATTGAGAATTCAAAAATCAAATTAATCACTCTCAGAAAGTTTTTGGGCAGTAGGAATAAAATATCTACATTTGTGTAAAACAAATGTAAAATGACAATTATGTTAAGGCTTTAACACAGTAACAAAATGGATTTTAAAAAAAAAAAAAAAACCTTTTTCCTCAAGCAATAAATAAAACAATGCTGAGCAATATCAATGTTTAGTACACCCAAAATTTACAAGTTAATCCAATTAACCTTTTAAGAAAAAATTAATGTCTTAAGTGTCAAACAGTAGAATCTAAGAAAATCTTGTGAATGACTATATCTACAGATCTATTTATTTCAACTCACATAATACTTTATATCTATAACTACTAAAATAAAACTGCTAAGATGACCTAAAGCACTCATTTTAAGATGTTCCTCAAGTGAATTTGCAATGGTCTTCAGGTGTAAAACAGCTTTTTATTGCTGATATACAAGTGTGTTGATCTAAGTCACAGTGAAGTATTATCTCACGAAGATATATGTTGAACTGACTTTTTAATGAACGAGTGGAACAAAGATTAAAACGCTCTATATTAATAGTTTGTCAATTTTTTTAAATGTTGCATTTATTTAGTTTGTATATAATATAACACTTATTTATTTAGTGTATGTACGACTGTATGGCACATTCCAATACACTGATTTTGAAAAAAATGATTAAATCCATTATTTATAAAATAAATAAAATTAATTTAGTATCTAGTTAAACATGAATACTATTTAATAAAAAAATACTAAATATTGTAAATTTCAAAGACAACAATACTTTATGTCATTGTATTTATCAATCAACAACAAGTAGGCATGCTGTGATATTGAGAAAATAACTAAGATAAATAGTGAAAAAAATCTTCAAAATACACATTTTTTTTCCTGTAAAGCATATAGGGTACCTTCAGTTTGAATTCAAGTTGTGGCATGACAGATAACAATAAATGAGGATCTATAGCAAAAAGTTCCTGAATCAGATCAAATACATGTTCGGACAGATCACTGACTGACGATCTTCCCAGCACCAGGACTTGATTGAAAAACTATAGGAGACATTACAATAAAAAGTATTAATTTACTTTAAAAATTTTTCTATAAATATAGACTCAAAGAGAACTATGACTGAGCATTACACATACAACTGAAAGGAACAGCAGATTGTCATTGAATTACTAACATATAAGAGGACAGACATCTAGAGACAAACTTCCAAATATTATCAAATCATGAATTAAAACACTGATCACTGTTATGTTTCAAATAAGGATGACATATCTGAAAATTTAGACAATATGTGTAATTCATTATAGGGATACAATTTAAACTCTCAATCTGATTTCAATTTTAAAGAATTCTATTTTTCCTGAGTTGAGTGATAAATAATATTTTAAGGTAGGCTTTAAGTTTCTATGTTCTTTTGTTTTCTATTTCTTGTGAAAGCCAAATACAATTTGACTCAGATGATAAAAATAAAGGTTGAAGACACAAAAGTTAGTAATTTAAAAATGGTTCAGGAATTAAGAGAATGCACTGCTCTTATAAACGACCCAAGTTTACTTCCCAAAAATCCATTTTCTGGTCTTCAAAGAAAATTAACTGCACTGTGTGCACCTACACCTCACCATCAAAGATACTTGGATACACTAAAGGAATATAGGAAAAAGAATATTTAATATCCAAAGTACTAAAAGTGTCACAAGTGCCACACACATACGAGAATGTCATAAGTGTCGCACACATACATACACATAGGAGAATGTTTGTTAGTTTTTATAGACTTCTTTTGTATATATATATTCTAAGTATATGACCACAGAGGTCAGAGGGTGCTGAATTTGCTGAATTTGGCTTTATACGCAGCTGTGAGACATGAATGTTAGGAAGAGAATTTTGGGTCCTCTGTAAGCACTCTTTACTACTGACCCATCTGTCCAGCTGGGAACCAGACTTTGAAATGTTAAAAACACAGGTATATACAAATCAGCATTTCTTTTTATTGGTTTTTAGAGACAGGGTTTCTCTGTAGCTTTGTAGCCTGTCCTGTAGACCAGGATGGCCTCAAACTCACAGAGATCCACCTGCCTCTGCTTCCCGAGTGCTGGGATTAAAGGTGTGTGCCACTACCGCCCGGCTAGCATTTGTTTCAGAAATCATAAAGTTGACATGTATTTTTTTAGATAGCTAAATTATGAGTCAGAAAATTTTCATATTTCAATGGGGTCTTTGAAAAGAATAAATACAATCTTAAGATATACACAAATGGGGCTGGAGAGATGGCTCAGCAGTTAAGAGCACTGACTGCTCTTCCAGAGGATGCAGGCACTATTTCCAGGATCACATGTCAGCTCTCAACCATCTGTAACTCTGACCCCCATACATGTAGTAAAAACAGCTATACATATAAAATAAAAAAAATGTATACGCACAAGTAAGCATGGTATGATACTTATAGAAGTGTATCTGAACTATCGATAGTTATTTCTAATAACTGAGAACAGAACATTCAAGGCAACATACCAAAACCTTAATTTAATAAAGGGCATAACAATTTAATACAATTTAAATTAATCATCCCTATTTTATTATAAGGAGGCAATTCCACAATAGATAGAACTGCATTCTCAGAGATAACCTCTAAAGGGAGCACTGATAAAACCTTTAATACAAGGCAATAAGGAAAATAAGTGTCAATTTATACTCACTTCTATTATTAATAAAGAGCTAAACATAGAATACAATAGATGTGTATAAGTAAATTTATAAAAGAATTATTATTTTAAGGTAGTAAAATCGTAAATTTTTTTAAAATAAAATTCTACTTTTTGACAAAGAACAAATTTACACTCAATTACAACTTTTCCTTTACAGAACTAACTTATGCACATGCTTGCATGTGTATGGAGGGGGGGTGGATATCAATGTATTCCCAAGATAGGATTTCTCTGTATAGCTCTGGCTGGCCTTGAATTCAGAACTCACAGACACCCATTTGCCTCTGTCTCCCAAGTGCTGTCATTAAAGGCAAGTGCCACCACAGTTCAGCTGTCAATGAATTTTTAAAAAACACTATAAGTCTGGAGATAGTCATTTGTTCCCAAACCTGATGAGCTTAGTTTGATTCCTACAGATTATCCTGTGACCCTCCAGTTCCCCATAACACACTGCCTTTTAAATATATATTTGTAAACATCTATTGAAGAAGAAACTATTTTAGAAAAATGACCCAGAAGACACAAAGAGGAAAATGTATACAGATAAAGACAGAGACCCAAAAAGTAGAGACAGGCAGATCTCTGAGGCCAGTCTCATCTACCTAGAAAGTTCCAGGGATATAGAATGAAACCCTTTTTCAAAATAATGGAAAAAAAATTTCAGAGACAAATTTAAAGTTTCACATATTTGGGAGGATATGGCAAGTGTGAATACAGATGTAGAAGAAGGGGTCAAATTTTAAAGTTACATCTATCACTTGGGCCAATTTAAAGGCATTTTACATTTAGGCTATGGTTTTTCCAATTGTGATCATACTTATATATAAGTTTTCATATTTTATCTGAATAAAACCATCCTGATGAGAAATGTATCTGTATATGATTATAATAAATCTACACAACCCAAGAATCAGAGTTCTGAAATAAATGTACAGAGATACATACATTGGCAATGCACGCTTCAATAGTCTGGACTGTCCTTTTCAACAGGACTTTTGCAAGGTCGAAGGACTGTTTATTTAAGTTCTGAAAAACAAATCATGCAAAGCTACAAATGAATTGATGAAACAGCATCATTTGAAAAATTACGTATTTAAATCTACCAAAATATGAAAAAGTTAAGTGAATTCCATTCAAGGTTTTACACAGAAGGTGTCAGCCAAATGAACTCAACAAAACAAACTCTAAGATATATATTCGACAGGCTGCCAAAAATCCAACCTATAGAAAGTTTTACTAAACTAAAACCAACATGAACTTACTAAACACATTATCCTAAATGCTCCCTCCCCATCCCCAAATACTAAATATTTCATTGTTTAATCAATTGTACTTGAAGAAGTCCTGAGGATGTGATTCAGTTATATTGTAGACCAAAGATTCAAATTCCTAAACCACAACAAGGAAAGCTGGGAAGGCCCTTGATCAGGGCCTAACTATGTAGCACTGGCTAGCCTGGAACTACTACACAGATTGAGCTTGCCTCAGGGATCTGTCTGCCTGTTTGTAGTAAAGGTGTGAATCATCACACCCAGATCACCTATTTCTGAAATGAAGACTACTCTGTTTCCTTATGTACCAATGTATTATAACAAATAAAGGATCTAAGAAAAGATGGTAGCCATGGCACATATTTAAATTTTAAAAATTTAAAAAAACAATTATTGTTTCAAAGAACACCTGTTAACATCTCTCAGCTACAAAATAGATTCAGACTGATACATCTTACACCTCTCAAAAGGAAGCTAAAAACACATTTCTGGGGCCTGTCATTGAGAGCAGTGGCCTCTCTTACAGAGCACAGAAATTTGATTCCCAGCACCCACATAGTGCCTTACAACTGTCTGTAACTCCAGGCACTCTTCAGGACTCTGTGAGCACTGAGCACAGATAGTGCACAAATATACAAGCAGAAAAAGAAAAAAAAAAAAAACCATACACATTTAAAAAAGCAAATAAAAACTATTAAGTATTTTAAACCATGTAGACTGATTCTAGGGTCAGAATAGGAATTCTAAAGGAAAAGGCCAATAGCTGATTTCTTTAGGTAAACTTATCTTTAATATCTTGATACTATACAGACCTTGTGTGCAGGGATGAGGTTGATAAGAATAGAATCCAGTAACTCTTGAGTAACTCCATCACCTTCCATGATGATAGAACTCATCAAGTCTAACATGTGCATTTGTACCTTCTTATTGTGGCTATTGCTAAAAAGAAGGGAAAATAATTAAGGCATATAGAAAGATAAAGTTCACTGGGGTCTGTTTTCTTTCATATACTTGTTTATTTACTGGTGGCAAGGTCTTGCTCTGTAACCCAGGTTGACCTCAAACTTAGGTTGTACCTCCTCACCCTAAGTGCCACTATGCCAATCAAAATTTTCAGTTTAAAGCAATTACTTTAGGACATAGAGGCAAAGGTCTTTAATCCTATATATTCAGGAGAGTAAGAAGGGTAAATCATAGCTTAAAGCTAGCTGAACAAATAAGCAAGATTCTCTCTAGGGAGAGAACAAGGTTGGGAAATAGAGCTCAGTGGTAGAGTACTTGCTAAATGCACATGAAGCCCTAGATTCAACCACAGTACAACACAAACAATCTCAGGTGTTAAAGAATTTTTAATCCAAGGAACCATGATGACAATGGCAAAGAAATTCCAGCTATCATATTTATTTCTCCCACTACCCTGCAACGGCCTACTTTGATAACTGAATCATATTATATAAAGTACTCTAAACAAGCATCACCTCAATTTCTAATGAAGTATTCCCTACAAGTTACTTACCTATATGCACATACATACTGACAATAAAGAAATCTTTTAAAATGTGTAGTCTATAGAATTATAGAACCATATACTATAGTATAAATACAGAAGTTTGAAACAAAATTGAAAGACTGGATTATCTAAGTGTTTAAAATTTTTCTTGAAGCAATAACAAAAAATAATTGACCCATCTAGCATTTAATGAAGGAAAACATGTAAGCTTTTAAAAGTTTGGGGGGGAGGGGAGATTGCCACAATTTCTACAATGTTTAAAAAAACAGTCCTTTCATGTGTATTCTCCAAATTATCTTACACATTTTACAAAATGCCAACTGTGAAGGACTATTGAGGCACAGGTCTCAATATGTCTTCTGTGTGTGGCAGTGGAATGGCTTGAAGAATATATTCAGCTTGATGCAAACACACACACACACACAATCCTGAGGGCTTAGCTCTCAGATCCATATATCAAGAGAAGGAAAGAAAAAAATACAAGGAAGACAGATAAAAGAGATTTTAAAAAATTATTCATGGCCAAGCTTAGTGATGCACACCTTTAACCCCAACACTTGGGAGGCAGAAACACTTGTGAATTCAAGGCCAGCCAGGGCTACATAAGGAGTTCTAGGCCAGTCAGGATCTACACAGTGAGATCCTGTCTTAAAAACAAATTATTTTAAAGATTTCACCAATCCAAGTGAGTAAACTTAAGACTTTACTTGAATCTGGATGTAGTAACAAGATTATGTTTTTAGACTTTATCTAAAACAACTAAAGACAGAGCAAAATACAGAAACAATAGAGTTCTGATATTGGGATTCGTTCACACGCTGATCAAAAAAAAAAACTAAACTAAAAACAAAAGAACAGCATCTTATAAATTTCACATTCTGGGTAAGCTAACAGGCTAGTCCAGGAAAGACAGCCCTTATGGACCCTAATGGTTCTCTCCCTGGAGTGCATACAGAATAAAGTTTGCAGAGCTGCATATCAGTGAACAAAGAATTATTCAGGAATCAATTTCAAAGATTCAAGTGCTTAATGGTCATCGCATGCAGGTGAGAAGTTCCTTAAATCTGGAAATGAATAACCTTTGAACTTCCTATGAGAGTTTGGAAGAGTAATCAAAAGAAGATAAGCCCAGAATCTAGAAGCTCAAGGAGCCAAGTACAAAACCCAAATCAAATCAAAGCCAGAAGAAAAGTTCTAAAATATATCATAACAAATTTTCTGAAATGAATTAACAAAGGTTTCAATGCAGATCGAGTAGATTTTGTAGAGGTTATAGGAGGAACAAACTAATAATTTCACAAGTATTGGAGATAGTAATCATAAATTTCAAAAGGAAAGTCTATGAAATGTTGTTACAATGCAAAGTTATAAATTGTTCTTTTTAAGTTATTTTAGTGTCTACTGTACATATTCATAGTGTACAAATACCCATTTGAACATGTGTTAAAGACAGCAACAAGCACTTTACCAACTGAGTAATCTCCCCCACAAATTGTTCCTTTGTGTCACATTACAATGATGTTCCATTCATGAAGTCCATATGAACAATCAGGGTTCGACTATACATCTAGCTTAACTAGTAAGTCCGAAGCTACTAAAGCATTAGCAAAAGTTCTAGTATTGAAGAGCTTGCCTTTCTTGATAATTCTGATGCCTATTCGGTGTATAAAGATACTGACATGCGATTTTATTATTGCATTATTTCAACCTACTGCCAGGTGCCCAGTTAAAAAACTACAGACACCACAGAGAATCCAGACCAAACTGCCAAGCAGAACCATGGGCAAAAAATGGTGGCTTCTCGTACAATCAAGTTCCTAGTAGGTTTTGTTATATAGAAGACGATAATTAGCATAAAAGTTTGTCACTTACTCCAATGGCTTGCTGGAAGTAAAATGGCACAGGAAGCTCTTATGATCTAAATGTTTTAGCTACTAGACTAATCAAATCTGTTTACTTTACTTCACTATACTAAAGGAAGAAAAAAAGATTTCTAGAAATCCACATGCAACCCAACAGAGTCACATACTGAAAGGCTAAGTCTTTTGGATACAATGAATCAATAAAATGAAATTCAACTGCTTTTTATCCTAACTGCCATTTCTTAATGTGGTAGAGAATTTAAAATTGACAAGATATATGTGCATATAATATAATACTTTAAGACACATCTCAGATGTTAGTTATGAACAAATAATAAAACTGCTAGGCAAAAAAAAAAAAAAAAAAGGCTGGTTGGTTGGTGGTGATCACACCTTTAATCCAGTATTTGGCAGGCAGACAGGACTATGAGTTCAAGGCCAGATTGAGTTCCAGGACTGGCTCCATAGCTACTGGGAAACCCTGTCTTAAAAACAAAACAAAAAATCCAACCCCTCTCCCCACCTCCAAAAGAAACCCACAAAAAAACAACTAGACTGAAATTAGTTTGGATTCTCCTGACCAGGAAGTATACTGATTCTTTTTATTCTTCTGTTAGTTTCTCCATTCTATGAAAAGCTGATTCAAGCAAAGTATATGAATTTCAAGAGTCAGGGCTACAGTTCAGTCATAGTATCTAGTATCTAGCAAGTTTGAGGCACTAGATTTCATCCCAAAACTATTTTCATCCAAAAAGAAAACATTATCAAATTTAGTAAGTGAACGAACTAATCTCTTCTGTTCCACATCACTGATGCACAAAAAACCTAGTACTTCACTGTTTAATGTCTCATGCCATTTACACTATGATGCCATTGCTTCTACAGCTAAGTTTCTTCAAAACAAGGTGTTTTCAACCTCCTTTAAAGCTATTGTTCGGGGAGGCCCAAGAGTGTCCTCACATCCCATAACACAGACCATTTCTATTGCTTCTGATTGCCCACTACCACTACCACTGGAGACACATATACTGTGGCTGTAGGACAGAGAAATCAAGTTGAACTGACACGAAAACTTCCCCCAATAGCTAGCTTTCATAGTGGCAGAAAGTGCTATGCAAACAGCTGGGAGAGAAAAGGGTAGCCAACCACTTTCTGATTGGATCTGAGGCCTGTTCCACAAGAGAGAATACATGCCCAGTATAATAAATCTGGTCAAAAGCCCATGGTTCAGAAATTCATGGGTCCTGGGGATGATTGGTGATGAGCGCCTACTCCTGCTGTTTTGTTAAGTGGACATGTGATCAAACCGTGCCTTAAATGTTTGTGTTTATAGCCATAGGTCAGTGTTGCTCTAAACCTGGTCAGAGAAGTCTCTAAAGTAAACAACAGTTAATGCAGACTCTTAACTGCTCAAAGTGTTGAGAATAAGTGCTGGTTGAGAGACCAGCTCAACATGAAATACCTATACCATTCACTGCACTCTCCTAGTAAAGACTTGAGGAACAGCAAAGAAGGGGGGCTAGAAAGGACAGAAGAGAGGAGAAGGAGTGCTGTGGACTCTGTCTTCTGAAGTTCGCATGGGCACTGTACTGCTAAACTTGCTCTATGGTCATCTGTGGAAGATCAAGCTAACAAAAGCCTTAAAATATTCCAGCAGAAGTACTAATAAAACTCAGTGGATTACGAGGGGGCACAACATAAAAAAGTGGGTATCCTGAGGGTGAAATAGTCAATGTATAAATGTAAAATAAATATTTAAATATTAAAAAAGTAAAATAAAAACTCCAAGGACTGTTTTATGATCCTCTAATATTATTTAGCCTAAAACACACAAAAAGACACAGAAAAGTCAACCAATTTATCTACACAGCAAATTTAAAGAGGCAGTGTAACATCAGGCATGCTGCCTCAATCCTAATAATTTAATCACTCAGTAGGTTAAGGCAGAAGACTACAAGTTTGAGGCCAACCTGGCTACCTAAGTTCCAGGTCTCTCAGAGCTACAGAGGAGCCCCTATATATCAAGGAAATAATTAACTAATTAGTTTAAAAATGGTAAGCACAGCTTTCAAACAACAGGATTTGTTTATTTCCCCCTTTGTAATATTCTCAGAAAATAATTTCTCTGGAAATCTAGAGAGTTTAGCTTATATATTAGAGTACATGACACTTCAATACATACAATATTTTTTAAAAAGTTTAAAAAAACTTACTTGATTACTGAGAAGAGAGTCCTAAAAAGCTGAATAAAAATTTCATTGCAATCTTCCAACTCAAAGCAGATGTTATATGATTTAACCCAAGCTAAATTCTTAAATCAACAAATAAAAATAACTGGTTAATCACATACATGTAGAACTGTCACACAAAAGCACACGAGTACAACTTAATTTTTATATGTAGAATTGTTTACAGTGAAGTCTACAAAGACTCAATTGCACAATTAAAATCAGTCCAATCTTTAAAAACTTAACTGGCAGCATCAACTGTCTCAGGTTGAAAGTACTGAATAGTTAGGAGTTATTACAAATATATATATGCATAATATTTCAAAAGCTGTGAAGATTCATTTTTAGATTAAGAATGACAGTGAGATATCAAATTATTTTTTTCACCAGATATACTTCATCTTTTAAAGACGGAGGAAACATAGAGATATTTTCCTTATGAAATGTAAGACAATTTAATAAATAAGCTATATAAAAAACAGTTTTACTTTACATTATAATTTTAAGAATTTGCAACTACATGGAATCATATTTATTAAATAAAGTATTATTGTTACCTCTAATAAATAAAAGTATCTATTAAACTGTGGACTCTTTGTATCCTCCAAACCTTTTAACTGCCTGGTAATAAAGAGAAATATGTCCTGTTAAAGAAATAAAAAAGTAAAAAATTTATTAGCTTAGACACTATTACTTGTCATTTTTGCAACACACTAAGTGCACATCTATATCTACATATAGAGGTATAGATATCTAAAAGTCATTACAAACTATAATAAAGTTCCCCTTTATTTGAATGCTGTGGGACAGCATTATTTTAAATGACTAGAATAGATTAGAACAAACAAAACAACATCCTTTGAAAGTAAAACTAAAGACTTACTGCACACTTATCTGAGAACATTCTTCATCTTACTACACTTGTCACTCACTGTCTCTGCATTGCATCATGGAAAACTACTCTTTTCTCCTGACATGTAAGCAAGTACTTTTCAGTCCATGGTTTTGAATTTGATGATGAAAAGCTATTTGGCACAAACGTGAGGCATTGACCTGAGGACTGAGGATGATGCTTTGTTCCTTAATAAGTTTCCTTGAGACATTTTCATTCATTCAAACTAGTATTAATATGGTATAAAATGGTTTGTTTTGCTGTAATCTGGACAGTGGATACTTGTAATCTACATGTATTTTGTTTTTTCCTTAAATGCATATCCATGATAAAGGCTAGTCTATAAGGCACAGTAGAAAACATGAACAAAAATAACCATGAGATAGAACAGCATTATAAAAGTTACAAAACAAAGTTATAAAAGGGGTCATTATTTAAGTACTGATGATTTGGATGTAAACAATAAGACACTAGTCCAGTTCTCAGGTAACAAAGCCAGTAAGTGACTCATGGACAGACAGCATATGTCTCAAGAGAAAGCATGACAGTGAACTTCATTATGGTTCTATCAAACTGAAATTTTGTGACCTGTTGTTATTTGTGGAATTTCCCATTTAATATTTTGGTTGGTCACAAGTGACTGAAAGTATGGAAAAAGAAACAAAAGAGATGAGAGGGCATTACTAACTGCACTTAAAAGGGGCAATGACTCGGTAGATGAAAGCACTTCCTGCCCTTATACACAACCCGAGTTTGGTTCCCAGCACATCCGTCTGGGGATTTACAACCATCTGTAACTCATTTCAGAAAATCTGAAAGCCTCCTCTTATCTCTGCCAGCATCTCCATGCACGCCATACACATAAACTCATGCAGGCACGTGCACATAAATAATAGAAGACTACAATTTCCCCAAGAATTATTCAAAATCAGTACAAAATCAGTTCAATAGATCACTTTAACAATTGTGTTTTTTAAAGATTTTATTATCATGTATACAGTGTTCTGTCTGCATATATGACTGCATGCCAGAAGAGAGCACAAGATCTCATTACAGACAGTTGTGAGCCACCATGCAGCTGCTGGGAATTTAACTCAGGACTTCTGGAAGAGCAGCCAGTGCTCTTACCCTCTAAGCCATTTCTCCAACCCTAACAATTGTTTTTAAAAGACAGAACCACAAAAATGAGCAGTTATGAATATCCACTACTTAATAACCTATAAGGGGAAAATGATCTCACTGTCTAAATTCTAGTATAGTACTGTTTCACAAACTATCATTAAGCCACTATTTATGCTTTCCATCTATCCGACTGGGCTTTCTGGGGGACGAACAGGAAGGTTAAATATGAGTAGACCAGGACAAGCTCTGATCTTTATCTTCCAAAGCCTCATTCTGTACCAGTCATATCTGTAGATAATAAATAATTATATGAAACTTGTGGTCAAAAACCATGCTTATGTGACAAAATAAAAGTAATGGTATTTTGCAAACAATGTATTTACCTTAAGTTTATCATGGGAAGTATATGGAGCTTCTGGGGCATAAATTCGAAATATATCAGCCAGACAACATGCTACAAGAAGGCGCACATCTTTATTAGGGTTCCTGAGAAAGAATTCAGATGCGAGATGCAAGGCTAGTGGGAGATACTGCTGCTTTTCATCTTCCGAATCCTGATCCATATCCATAAAAGTTTTCACTACCATCTGTTAAAAAAAAAAAATAGTATCAACCCATAATACTTAGTAATCAATCAGTTAAAGATGTCCCTCTTCCCCTTCCTTTTGTAAGCTTGGGAAGAGTTGGGGATGTGTAGGTCAGTGGAAGAGCACAAGGTCTTAGGTTCATTCCCAACCACCACACAAGCATGCACACCAACACCCACATACTAAAAAAAAAAAAATCATAATCATGAAAAGCATAGTCACAAGGAAATTTATAAAAAACAAGAATCAACCTGTAGATTACTCAGACACCTTATCTGTTTTACACAATATTTCGTATAACTTAAAAACTTCCATTCGTGACCGTATTGAACTATTTATTTAGATGATATCTTGCTAAGTTGTCAGAGCAGAACCAAGTGATTCTCCCAACTTCTTCCTTGGATTCTCAAGCAGTTGTAAATTCAGGTATGTCAACATATTTGATTTCACTACTCAAATGTAACTTAACTAAAATGGTTTTGACCCCATGTACACAACTGTATTTAGCATTTTATATCATTTTCAATTTATAATCAAAGTTACATTTTATAGGCTTATTAAACCTTCACTTGAATTTTACTGGTCTTTGTATAATGCAAAACCATACTTATCTGCTTCATGTAGTTCTATTTCTGAAGGAAAGTTTTAATTAAAATAACTTATGCTGAGTTTGAGGTCAACTTGAGCTAAAGAACTAGCTGGAAGCCGGTTTGAGTTACATAGCAAGACTCAATCTTGTTTCTACTTTTAAAAGTCACTGTGATTGGTTTAATAAAAAGCGAAATGGCCAATAACTAGGCAGAAAGTATAACAGAGACTTCTGGACATAGAGAAGTCTAGGAAGAGGGCAGAGTAGCCAGTCAGACACACAGTAAACAGGATGGGCTATTTGGAGATGAGGTAATAAAGTCACAAGGCAGAAGGTAAATTAATAAAAATGGGTTAGTTTAAGTTATAAGAGCCAGTTAGAAAAAAGCCTAAGCTGTTATTCTAGCTGTCATAATTAATAAATAAGTTTGTCATGTTTTGTGAGCTGGCAGCTCAAAGAAAAGTCCGACTACACACGGCACCCAACATGTATTCTCCCACACAGAACCTGAGAAAGCTTTTTAAAAAAAGGCTCCAAACACACAAAAACGAAGCCAACATAGCTTCGTAGTACCACAGTCTCTCATGCAGGCTGAGCAACAGAGACACATCTTCCAGCCACTGCCTACAGGCTTGATCTGCCAGAATGCCATGAGCTGAGCTGCACAGCAGTTTAAGATTTCACTCAGACAAAAAAAAATTGAAGATATGCAGTACAGCAGGTTCAGAGAGAAAAGAAACTCTAACTAGGTTACAGTGTGTTTAACAACATACATAAGCCTAAAAAACAAAATGAAACTAACAGTCATAAAAAACAAGTTCATAGGGCTGGAGAGATAGCTCAGAGATTAAGAACACCTGATGCTCTTCCAGAGGTCCCGAGTTCAATTCCCAGCAACCACATGGTGGCTCAAAACCATCTATAATGAGATCTGGTGCTCTCTTCTGACTAGTAAGCATACATGCAGACAGAACACTGTATACATAATAAATAAATAAATGTTAAAAAAAAACAAGTTCATAAATAGTAAGATAAAGTCTTCAAAGAAAAAAATACTATAAACCAACCTATATATTTCAAAAATGGCTTAACTTCAAAATGGAAATAAAAATATGCTGCACTGGAGAAGAGGTTATGCTATTGTTTCCACAAAAACCAAAAACCTGTAGAATCATTCAAGGCTGATACAGATCAGGTTTGATTGGGGGAGACCCCTAGTAAATCCTGGCTTCAGACATAAAGAAATAAACCAAGAAATACTACAAGACAAATAATGTATATTTTACCTGCTCAAACATAAAAGAAAAACTTATCTTTAGCTACCTTGTGAATAACATACAGTCCATACTTTTGTTAATGCAGATATGTATGTTACCTTTAAAAGTTTATGTGTTTTCAAAGTAAGGGAATCAAACACCAAAGAAAATACGTGGCCCACGTGATCCAACCTCTTTGAGTGCCTCTTGCAGTTTCCTCAGAGTTCTGCATCCAGATCAGCTTTAAGTCTGCTGGCTGAGATGATCTACTCTCACAGACTACTCTAGCCAAAATTTCAGATAACCTTTTTGAAATTTTTGAAATTTGAAATTTTCAGTCATCATACCAAGACTGGACAACAGTTAGCATCTCCAGGACTTGATGATTACCTTGATTTTTTTCAGGGTTCTGCAAAGATGCCAACACTACAAGAGGAAGCAGTCTAGAGAGCACAATGCCCACATTCCCAAGAGGTGGGCGAATGGTTTTTGATCATTCAGTGGGTTATGGATGTTTGTCATTGCCTTAGGGGAGTTGGTTACAATTTGTTATTGGTCATAATAAGGAAAAAAGCTGAACAAAGGAGATTAGATTCAGTGTCCTAGCTCTGAAAAGAAAAAAAGGTGATGCAGAAATAATAGGATAAAAGTGTAGATTATTGACTTTTAAACTAAAAAAGCAACTACTAGTCTTAAATATTTTACAATGGTACTGATTTTTGTACATGACAAAAATTTAAGGTTATTTATGTTATATTTGTTGTTATTCTTTTTGTTTTGCTTTGTTTGAAAGGGGCAGGGTTTCTCTGTAGCTTTGGAATCTGTCCTAGAATTCATTCTGTAGACCAAACTGGCCTCAAACTCACAGAGATCTGCCTGCCCCTGCCTCCCTAATCCTGGGATTAAAGGTATGCATCACCTCACCCAGATTGTTTTTACTCTTAAAGTATTGTACTGATGAAGTTCATTTAAAAATGTACAATTTAGTAAACAAGCTCCACAAGGAGCAAATACAGTCCTGGGACACTGGCAGACCAGGATTGGGCCAACGACCTGACTCATAGTCTGTGATCTCCACCAGCACTGGACAAAGTAGGCCTGAGACAGCAAACTTCAAGGGAGCAGACCAAAGAACAGGAGCACTTAGCTATCTCCAAAAACACCAAATAAACAACGGGGTAACTAAAACTGTGACACTGACGAACAACTGTTCCACGAGGAACAACCATTTAGATTCACTGGCACCTAGAAGATTATTCAACAGAATCTCAGACAGCCCCAACACCTATTAGAGGAAAAGATTAGTAGAAAAGGTAAGATCACATGCTACACCAAAGAGCAATACCAGTAAAACTTAAAGGCCCTACAAAAGCAAGATGTGAACAACCAAATATGGATGAACCAGAAGAAAATGATCTAAAAAATAATCTCAAGAGAATGTTTGAAATTCTTAAAGATGAAATGAGAAATTATTTTAAAGAAATGGAGGAAAAAACTACCAAAAATTTGGAAGATATGAGAAAATCACTTAAAGAAAACCAAGAAAAAGAACTCAAACATATGAAAGAAACTATTCAGGACTTGAAAACTGAGATAGAAAAAATTTAAAAAAAAAAAACAAAAACAAACACAAGCCAAAGGAATTATAGAAACATAAATCATGATAAAAAGGTCAGGAACCACAAATGCAAGCATGAACAACAGAATACAATAAATGGAAGAGAGAATCTCAAGCACTGAAGATACAATAGAGGAAATAGACTCATCAATTAAAGAAAACATTAAACCTAACAAAAGCTTAACCCAAAATATTCATGAAATATAGGACACCATAAAAAGGTCAAATCTTAGAATAATAAGTATAGAAGAAGTTTAACTCCAAGGCACAGAAAATTTATTTAACAAAATCATAGAAGAAAACTTTCCCTACCTAAAGAAAGATATGCCTATGAAGATACAAGAAACTTACAGAACACCAAACAGACTAGATCAAAAAAAAAAAAAAAAGTCCTTTCGCCACATAATAAAACACTAAACATAAAGAGTAAAGAAAGAATATTAAGAGCTGAAAAGGGCAAGTAACATATAAAGGCAGACCTATCAGAATTACACCTGACTTCTCAGTGGAGACAATGAAAGCCAGAAGGTCGTGGTCAAGTATTATGCAGACATTAAGAGACCATGGATGCCAACCCAGACTACTATACCCAGCAAAACTGTCGATTACCATAGAAGGACAAAACAAGATATTTCACGACAAATCTAGATTTCACCAATACCTAGCCACAAACCCAGTCCTACACAAAATACTAGAAGGAAAACTCCAAACCAAGGAAAATGGCTACACCAACAAAAACACACACAATTGATGATCTCATTACAGTAAATCCCAAAGAAGAAGAAAATGCACAAATTAACATCACCAACAAAGAAAACTAAATTAACAGAAGATAGCAATCACTGGGTCATTAATATCCCTTAATGTAAATGGACTCAACTCACCCATAAAAAGGCACAGGCTAAAAGACTGGATACGAAAACAGAATCCATCCCGCTTCTGCATAAAAGAAACACATCTCAACCTCAAAGATAGACATTGTCTCAGAGTAAAAGGTAGGGAAAAAAATATACCAACCAAATGGACCTAAGAAACAAGAGGGGGTAGCTATCCTAATATATAACAAAATAGACTTAAAGCTAAAATCAGTCAAAAGAGACAAAGAAGGACATTTCATATTACTCACAGGAAAAATCCATCAAGAGGAAATTTCAATACTGAACATCTATGCCCCAAATACAAGGTCACCCTCATATGTCAAAGAAACACCTCTAAAGCTTAAATCATACATTAAACCCCACACACAAATAGTAGGAGACTTCAAAACTCCCATCTCACCACTGGACAGGACAATCAGACAAAACATGAACAGAGAAATAAGAGAACAGATGTTATGACTCAAATGGACTTCACAGACATCTATAGAATATTCCATCCAAACAGAAAAGACTATACCTTCTTCTCAGCACCTCATGGAACCACTCAAAAGTTAACCACATACTCAGTAATGAAACAAACCTCTCAACAAATTAAAAAAAAATTGGAATAACCCAATGTACCTTATCAGATCACCATGATTTAAAACTAGAAGTCAACA